TTGTGCAGCTTAAACCAGGAAACCAAGGATTGTGTACAGTAGCTTTAACCAGGAAACCAAGGATTGTGTAGCTTTAACCAGGAAACCAAGGATTGTGTAGCTTTAACCAGGAAACCAAGGATTGTGTACAGTAGCTTTAACCAGGAAACCAAGGATTGTGTAGCTTTAACCAGGAAACCAAGGATTGTATAGCTTTAACCAGGAGACACAAGGATCGGTTGGCTTTAACCAGGAGACACAAGGATCGGTTGGCTTTAACCAAAAGACCCAATAAGGATCCTGTAGCTTTAACCAGGAGACCCGAGGATTGTGTGGCTTTAACCAAGAGACCCATTAAAAGGATTGTGTAGCTTTAACCAAGAATCCCTGAGAAAGATGACAGCAGTATTTTTAGGGATATACACCAGCTACAAAAAGTATATATCCAGTAACGGTCATTTGGATAAAGCACACCTAAATGACCTAATTGGTTCAACAGCAAATGTCCACTGGGACTAAGCGAGATGACCAGTGTATAGTCCACTCTAAATACTAAACACTCATGCTCAGCCAAAATGGCACGATTACCCACAATTCATTATGGAGACGTTTGTTGCCTGTTAAATCAGATTATGCAGGGAATTAGCTCTGTTTCTGTCTGACCTCTTTTTCTGCTGGTGTATTATGCTGGCTATGAAATGTGAATTATTACCTTGTATCGGAGCCTATGCATACAAATCAATCCGAACGGCCTTGGACATTTCTGAAATTTTGTTTCATCAGGGGGGTTGAATCCCTTGAAGCACGATTCTTAAGCTCTGCCAACAATTCAATATATTTTCAGCTTAGGAAATGTTTCAAATCTTTACAAACCACTTCTGCCAACCACAAACCTGACAATATTTATGCGATACCAAGGTGTTGAACTGTTCTGAAAGGCTTCAGTGTTTGAACATTTTAAGGGCCTTTAAATGAAATGTCGCTGTTTTTGATGAAATCTGGATGTAACAGCCCACTTTGTGAACTTCCCCTGCCTGCCACTCTGACAATCCTTGTTTAGTGACATAACCCTAGTTGGTATTGCTCTTCCTTAATCCTTATCACAACAGGCAGGATTGTATGAGTCTGTGCTGCCGACACTGTGTTCAATACTTATATAGCACCCTCAGCCTATCATTGCTCATCCGTCCTCTCCTACTCCCATCCCTCCCTTTACAATATGACAAATTAATTTTCACTTTGAAGATCCATCTTTCTATTCCATATAGTAAACATTTTACATAAAAATGATGTAGTTCCGTTTGATGATGAAGTAATGCCTTAAGGTTGTATGCTACCTTAAACACTGTACCTGTATTTTATTTTAGAGTTATCTCCCATGATATGCTTTTTTGTAAAGTTCGGTTACAGGCTTTTTAGAGTGGAGCTCTTTTTGGAAAGGAGATCGATGCATTAAATAGGAGGTATCTTTTATCCTTAAGAACATGGGTGCTTTTATACAGTGAAGCATCACTGCATCATTCCAGTTCTCACTTCAAGTTGCCATGACGATTTATCCTTGATGTTTCGTGTATTGCTGCAGTCTTTCATTTCGGATTCCTTGTTCAGTGTTTAAAACATAATGCTAAAATATGGGATCAGTCTACGTCATCAATCTGATGTGATTTGATAAAAACAAGGCTTCTTTAAATTATGTCGTTATTTGTGATGTGAACGCCTAAGGTTCCCTACCAGGGCGTCACAGGAGATCGACCTATAGGGGTTCCTCACATTAATATCTGTCTGATCAAACTAAATAAGATTACAGAGGCAGATCTAGAAGGATGAGGGTCAATGATCGCTAAGAGAATAATTATACTGCCAAGTAATGACATTTTGACTTGGAAATTTCTCTTTCAAAATGTTTAAATCATATTAATTTTTGCCAAATTTCCTTAATTCCAATTTTTTATATTTGTCCTAAAAATCACAAGATTTGATAACTAAACGCTGTGGTTTGAATTTGTCCATTTTTCATTGGGTTTTTTCCTGCCTATCGTATTTTCCACATGTAGCAACCCTGTATTGGTCACTCTCCATTGAATTGAGATATACGCTTGTTTGGTTACACTCGCCATCCTTCCAGTGGTTGCAGCTAGCTTATATTACCAGTTGGAATATAAATCTACACCTTCACAGTTTTCTCGTGTGATCATCCTAAACTTGGGATTACAGCAGTAACATACATCTGTGTTTTTGGAAATTTCTAACTTATTGATGCAGTTTCATTACAATATTCCAACTTTTGTGGCTTAGGAAACTGTTTTTTGTTTTAACTTGTTTTATGTATGTTCACTTTCCTTAAATCATCTTTCGTAATGCAGATGTAGAAAGGTAAATTAAAGCAAGCATTTTTTAGTGTATATATGCATATCTATTTTTCAAACTCAGCTTTATAAGGTCCCCACTGCCGAGTTTGATAAATATAATCTCCCGTAATTCCTGGTTTTGACTTATTTATAAACGTTTGATCAAAGTACTGTGAGTACCTGGTAAGGCAGTATAACATCCAATTAAAACTTTCCTTTGTATTAAGAAATGTAAGATAATTGTATGAAAGTTTTTCATTGTTTTTACAACTTTGAAACAATAGAACGAAAGAGTTCTAAAAGAACCGAATCTTTTGTTAGCTTATATTAGGAACTTTACGTTGACATGATTAACAAAGACAGTCAGCACCCGTTACTGTTGTACATGAACGTCATTGATCGAGTTTGTTGATACATTTGCACTATATTTGATCGATGATGAAAGAAAGAATGAATAAAATGTTGTTTTGCTGTAGAAATTTTATGAATTTCACCCTGTGGAGGAATAAAAAATAAGATGACTCTAAAATATGAATTAAAGCAGTTCTATGACATAATTCACAGTAATAAACAAGATCAATTCAAAAGTTTCAGAAAGCAAATTTTGAAATTTATTGCTTCTGTTGGCAAGGTGTTGATTCAGGAAGGCTGAGTTGTCAGAAAAATCAGATTTAAAACGCCTTGTAGATTAAGGTCTGATCAAGTGTCTGACTGTTAAGGAAGTGATTTAGTCCGTAAATTCTACAGAGAAGAATATCAATAATTTTATTAGTGCCCTATTTAGTCTCACAGGAATTCATTTAAAGAATTTTGAACAGGCTAAATATAGTCATCATTATTCAACTTCGTTGTCAATCAAACAGTGTTTATTTAAGAGGATAAGTTTCGATTCCTTTCCAAAGTCAGTCTCATGTATCGGTTGGTTTCAGAAAATAACTTAAATACCCAATTTCAGCTTGATTATGACAAGTTCTCATCAACTCAAATTGTATCCAAGCAAATGCTAGCTAGGGTAATTATGAAGGATCTTGCGGAAACATTTTAGTTATCTAAATGTTATGCATTTTAGATTTAATCAACTTGTTTGTTGCTGTAAGCTTGCATGGTGTGACATTGTTTATCTAACGACAAGACAGTTTTCAGATTGCAGAAAATACATTAACTTCTAAAAGCATGAAAACAGATATTTTTCTCTTTAAAAATTGATTAATGGATACTTCTGATTTTTGTGTTTTTATTTAAAAAAAAGATGTCATTTATTTTTTGCAAATGAAAAGTCAATGTAATTTGATAGAAATGTTCGGTATGAAAAATCAGCATCAGCAGCCCATAGAGAAATACTACAGAGGCAACCTTGTAGTACACATTAAAAGAATAGAAGTCATATTATTCTAATTGATAAATGAGCAGCCTTGTAGTACACATGTATGGGAACAGAAGTCAGTCTCATTGATAAAGAAATCCTCAAAGCACAGCCTTGTAGTATTGTCACCTGTATGGGAACAGAAGTCAGTCTCATTGATAAAGAAATTCATAAAGCACAGCCTTGTAGTACACCTGTATGGGAACAGAAGTCAGTCTCTTTGATAAAGAAATCCTCAAAGCACAGCCCTGTAGTACACCGGAATGGGAACAGAAGGCAGTCTCACTGATAAAGAGATCCTTAAAGCACAGCCTTGTAGTACACCTGTATGGGAACAGAAGGCAGTCTCATTGATAAAGAAATCCTTAAAGCACAGCCTTGTAGTACATACACCTGTATGGGAACATAAGTCAGTCTCTTTGATAAAGAAATCCTCAAAGCACAGCCTTGTAGTACGTACACCTGTATGGGAACAGAATTCAGTCCTATTGATAAAGAAATCCTTAAAGCCTTGTAGTACACCTGTATGGGAACAGAAGTCAGTCTCATTGATAAAGAAATCCATAAAGCACAGCCTTGTAGTACACCTGTATGGGAACAGAAGTCAGTCTCATTGATAAAGAAATTCATAAAGCACAGCCTTGTAGTACACCTGTATGGGAACATAAGTCAGTCTCTTTGATAAAGAAATCCTCAAAGCACAGCCCTGTAGTACACCGGAATGGGAACAGAAGGCAGTCTCACTGATAAAGAAATCCTTAAAGCACAGCCTTGTAGTACACCTGTATGGGAACAGAAGGCAGTCTCATTGATAAAGAAATCCTTAAAGCACAGCCTTGTAGTACATACACCTGTATGGGAACATAAGTCAGTCTCTTTGATAAAGAAATCCTCAAAGCACAGCCTTGTAGTACGTACACCTGTATGGGAACAGAATTCAGTCCTATTGATAAAGAAATCCTTAAAGCCTTGTAGTACACCTGTATGGGAACAGAAGTCAGTCCCATTGATAAAGAAATCCTCAAAAGACAGTTTCATTGATAAAGAACTCCTCAAAAGACAGCCTTGTAGTACACCTAAATGAAAACAGAAGTCAATCGAATTGATAAAGACATTCTCAAAAAACAGCCTTGTAGTAGACCTGAATGGAAACAAAATTCCCCCAAAAAAACTTCCCTTTATTATATTTAAAGTTTGTGTAAGCTGTTAAAGAAATTCTCACTTATGATGAATGATCAATTGTATTCCTTCATTAAATGAATATTAATGTATAGGATTATTTTGATGATATTTGTTTTCATCTTTTACAGATTCCTGTGTATGTGACACTTTTCATTAGTGATGTAAATGACGAAGTACCAGAATTCCGTAATCTGCGATACAAGGCATCTGTAGCAGAGGTAAGTGTAAAAATTATGATTTCATTGGCTACATTATCAGTTACACTTTTTTCCTTGTAATCAGCTAAGAGGCCAATAAAGGGTAAAATAAGCACTTGATTGAATTACTAAATTAACCGAAGACACCAAAACAATAAAGAAGACAACATGAATAAGAATGCTTCTACAATCTATTGTGTTGTGTTGAGTCATTGACCCAAACTGAGACCATCACTCTCCTTGTAAAGTTCAAAAAGTGGTAACATAGTGTCAACCTCTGAAACCTCCAATGAGGGAGATCTCCCTCCTTCCACAGTTCCAATGGGGGAGAAAGTGCGTGAAACGCGACTGAAACTGCTTTGCTCAATTTTTCTTTCCATTTTTGTGTATCAAAAAAATTCCAAAAAGCTTTCATTTGATTCAGAAACACCTGTTAAGATCATTACTCACACCCTGCAGTAGCTAGATCATTTTACCACAGGATGTAAATTTCGAGTTTGTGTGATCGAGTTTGGACTAGAATGAGGGGAGTTTGATGGCGATTGGTAAATTTTGGTCAAAATGAGGGAATCTCTCTCTTAATGAGGGTGGGTTTAATTTTACTATGACAGCTAGGTGGTTATCTTAACACAGGTGGTCTCTTGATACAGGTTCAGTTCACAATAAAACCACTATAATGGACAATTACTTTTAAAGTGGCCTATTAGCTCAAGTGGTCTCTTGATAAAGGTGGTTGCATGAGCAGGTTTGACAATAATCTGCTCTCATCCCTCGAATATGTTTCTAAGCACATTGAGTAGGTTACTACACTCCACAAACATTGTAAAATATTGATATAATAGAAATAATAGGTAATTAAATTTAAAATTCAATAGTCATGATATACGTTTTATCTCTGAAATAAGCAGCATCAATATTTGAGTTATGTGGACTCTCAATGTGTCAAACTCAGACACATAGAAATATAAAAAAAAATATATGTCTTAAACATTATTAAATAAAATCCATTGTCTATAATGAAAACTGGTATATTTCTATTTTGCCATGTAACTGTCACAGACATTGTTGTCTACAGGGAAAGACTCATATATCGCAATGGTTTAAATGGGATATCGTAGCTAACGATCAAACCATTGACAAATATTATTTGTAATGATACATCGTGGTAAATTGGCACAGATTACTGCAAAATATCCCGAAGGATCTGCATGTAGCGGCTTAGACTCGGTATCATTATGATGAATCGACTGCGATACCACAAGCAGCTACGTACGCCCAATTATGGCAGAAACCACGAGAAACGAATATGCTTAAGTCCCCTCGGGAATATAGGATTAAAACAGGAGTCGGGACGGAATGACATTGCGGATAATCAACCCCCTTGTGTGGGTCTTCTTTGTTGCATAGCGTAATGAAGCGATGCTCAAACCATTTACTCAGTTCACCGAGTGCATATGGACATGTGACGCTCAGTGATGTGAACATCTAACGGTCATTGAGTATCGCAGTCTTGTGGCAATCAGCATTAAATTTCTACATTCGCATCTGCTTCGTGAAAGTTTGAATTGTCAGTATGTGAAAAAACATAATGCCTTAAAAAACAAAACGTTTTTTGATTATTTCAGTTCACAAATTGGTAAAGTGATAAAACTTTGAACAAGCATACTTTGGTCCTTAAGGAGAATTCTGTTTTCTTTGAAATTTAACGAAAGTTGTAAAGCATATTTTATACTTAAAATTGAGAGAATGTTTTCTTTTCAGAATAGGTGGGGACAGTAAATTTTTGCTGGCAAAAAAATTATGCCTTATAATTAGATTTGCTGCCTGGAACCCGCATTCCTGAACAGCTTGTGACGTTGAGAAGTTATTTTCACCAACAAAAAATCATAGACCACTAGCATATGAATGTAATAGATTTGTAATTAGTAAAATTTAGGCAAAAATAAATTGGAGAAAAAATAAGAAAAACTTGACATACAGACTTCTAATGATCCTGCTTTGATGAATATTCATGCATTGTATTTTTAGAATGCCACTATTGGAGTAACAGTTTCCAAGGTCACGGCCACTGACCCCGACAACGGCCCGGGTGGTACTGTCAGTTATTCCATGCAGGTATGTACTGAACTTGTATCTAGTAATAAAAAAAAGATTCCTTAACTTAAACTGGACAATATTAATCCAAACAACTCTCTGATACATTGTGGTAATAGACTAATTGACGTAAGGCGTGATCTGAGTCTTGTTTTTTAATTCAGTTTTCTCAAAAGTGGAAAGAAGAAAAGAATATATTAATAATAATAAAAGAATAAAAAAATTGTATTTGTGCTTTGTTTGTTTGGTTTCATTAACACAATTAAAATTATTTTCTAGTTTTTGTCATGATTAACTGTTTAACTGACAATCTGTCTAGTGAGGAATTCTGAAAGAAAAACGTGTTACGTTTATTTTACTTCACTTTTGATAAAATCCGAGTCAAACTGCAAACAAAATAAAAATGCACTCACAAGGTTTAAACTTTTAAATTTATTTTGCTTTCTTGCTCTAAATTTTTTTTATTAAGAAGAACTGTAGGATAAGCAGTTAATAACCATGATTGTCTTTGCCTTTTACTTGCATGGCTGACTACTTGCAAAAATAAAGAAAAATCAGAAGCTATATTAATAGCCATAGAATAACATTTTTAGAATAATTGAAATATAATTCATAGAAGCCAATCAAACAGAAAGAGTTGATTAAGCACATGACGGTGATAATAGGAAAGCAGCCTCAGTTAAGGATGTATGCTACTTTACTGTGACATATATATCATGCATCGCCTTTTGAAGAGTTCCATTTTCATAAGGAACTTGAGAAATGATTAATGATAAATTTTAAAAGATGCACAAAATGAATGCATTCAGATTATTATAATCAATAAAAGTTAATTCATACTGGAAAAAAGTAAGGGAGATAAGTCAATTACAAATCCTATTCATGATGTGTAAGGTAGCATACATCCTTAAGTTGTGCTTATAGTGATAGAATTGATATTTGTTTTTTAGAATACAGTAATTAAACAACCTAACAAGTGTCTAGTAGGTGCTTGGCAAGTTGGGGAAATAAGAATATAATTACAGAACCTCCAAAACATATATAGCAAAAATGGCAAATATAAGAAATTATGAAAAAAAGGAAAGACCAAAAATGAACAAAGAATTTGGTAGGGGACACTTTATAACAAAAAGCATGGCACTTATTAGGTACAATTAAGTGTGATAATCTAGAATACAACTTATCAGAAGAATAAATTAGGTCACATTAACACATTCACCCCTGAAATTTCATAATGAACTATACCAACCTTTGAATTGGAAGAGTTCAAATGTATCTTCAGGGGTGAATGAGTTAAAGATATGTATTGCTTGTTTATAACATTGTTAGAATGCTTTCTAATTTTTGCATAATAATGTAAATATCATTGTCATTCCTTTGCAGCCAGTTGCACAGGTAAGTTGGTTGTTATATATTTCCTATCCATATTTATTCTGTTGAACAGGAATTTTTGAATGTTGGAGTTGTTATCAAAATTATGTGTAGTTATCAATCTCTTTTGAGATTGATTTAATGATTTATCTACACAAAAAAAAGAAGATATTTCTTTGTGAAATGTTACATAATAGATTCTCATTGATATTGATTTGATTTTACTTGAACTGAAAACAATAAGAAATAAATATGTATAAGCTTCACTGGCTTGTAAAGTAAATAGAAAGTTTGATGTCTTATTTTGTCAGGTTTGCAACAGAAGAAAAAAATAGTACCTGTATCTTCAGCGTGAAAATACCATTAGTCATTTTGAAACAATGATGCCATTTGCCATCATTTTAAATAAAAGTTGAAGCTTTTACAAAAACATATTCTCTTGTTGCTGCTACACTTACTGTAGCTCTAGATCTGATGCCAAAAGTTTTTAAAGCTTATGATTTTTTTTGTCGTACATTTAAGAAAAATTTGGATAGATTCATTGATGAAAAAAGAAGTATTTAAGACAACAAGAAGCTAATGGTGGCATATTCTTAAGCAAATATTTGGAAATAAGCCAAAATGATTTCAAAATACAGATTATCTGTGGTCCTTAAAGATCTTGTCTGGTTTTATATATAGTACTGTGTGTTATAAAACTATAAGAGAGTATTGGACAAAAATGGAAGGATTTAATGTCGCAGTAATGAAAATGACCTTGGCTTTGATGTCAGCGCTAACTAATGGAGGTTTCATTTCTAATTTTATCACCCATTTCTTGCCCATGTCATTACGGTTTCTCACGTTTTGTCACAGGCAGCCGACAGCGAGTATAAAAACGCCTTCAGAATAGACCCAAACAACGGGGAAATCATAGTGAACAGTCCTCTAGACTACGAAAAACACAACTTTTACGAATTTGTCATCACCGCAGTTGTAAGTTTTACATGGTTTTTGTGTGACAATTTTATACGTTTCTTGTTATCCAATGAATGGGATTCCGTAATACGCAATATCAGCAAATGAATAAAAAAAAGATTAACAGGCAAAAATAAGTCTTAAAAAATGGGTAGTAAACACATAAATAACTTTCATATATTAAGAGCATTGATGTTGAACCTTAATGTTGAAACCTGATGTGTTGATCTTAACTTTGTATGTATGTCTTAAAAAGTGATCCTCATTTCTGAAATAAAAACAAACCCTGTTTGGTTAAAGATAAAATGCTTATTTTTTCAAATATTTTTTTATACAACCTGTAAAGTAGGTAGTTCTTATGTATAAGATACTTAACAATTTAGCTCCACAAAATTTGAACGATTTTACATATATCTGATGTTCAGGGTAGAACTACAAGATCATCATCTACCAAAATGAATGTGTTTACTCGCCATGTCATAAGGCAAACATTTTTAGAAAATATTTTATATATGAGAGACCCCTTACATGGAATCTACCTCACTTTTAGAATTTAAGAGATCTGCAAAGCAATTTTACTTGAAATGATTTATGATTTTCTCCCTTATAATTATCCTGTCTTTTATACAATGTATATTTCTTAAAGCTGTAAATATTGTACATTTTATCATACATTGTATCTTGACCATATATAAGATGAGCTTCATGCTCAAAATGTTATCAAGAATAAATAAAGCCGTTATTATTATTATATATATATATATATGTTTTCATATTTAGATTATACAGCTCGTTTGCAATATTTAACCTTATTATTTCTTAAGTTGCTTAAGGAACAAACAGGTGTCTGCTATCTAATAATTCATCAAATTTCTTCTTCTCTTGAATAAATACATATACTGATTAAAAAAAACAAAAAATGGTTCATTTATCATATTTTATTTGGGTTGGATTAACAACACATTGTATATGTAATACTTCTGATGGAACTTTTAAATCTAAAAAATAAAATTGTTTACAAGATCCGAGTTGCCATTTCAGTTGAGATTTCAAAAAAACAAACGCTGCTGAGCTTAAAAAAAAAAAAAATCCGAAATAGTTTGATAAATTCTACATGAAATGTAAATTCTAGATCCAATTTATCAAATTCAAAAGGATGCATGTAAAGTTTTGCGATTTTCTTGGATCTATGATTGATGTTGTTATTTCTTTTTTTACCTTTAGGATGGATTGGGAAAGGTTTGCAAAGACAATGCTGATTTTGTAGTGACCATTGTCGACGTGCAAGATACACCGCCGTCCTTCTTCAACTTGCCCTACAGCGTGAGCATGATGGAAAATGCTGCGAAGGTGAGGAATTGGCCACGTAGCCTCATCCCGAGTTGTCGGGCAAGCTCTCTAGTGACCCGAGATGTTCTCTGATGATGTGCCAGGACGCGACAATTTGCGTGTAGAACTAGTCTACTCGATTTAATTGGCCCTTATAGTCTTGTCGTGACCAATTTAAAATTCTAGAAATGTCTGTCCATTTCATGATAGTTTCTTCACTTGTGAAAAAAAGAACATTAAAGAGGATTTGGCGAAGGGGAATAAAAGTCCAGTAGAAATTCTGTTGTTTACGTAATTGTTTCAAATTCTCATTTTTATTTCGTTCTTTTTTTATTATTTTTTATGTTAAGGTTGAGAGCTCAGTTTATAATTGAATCTGAAATTGTTGTTTCACTTTTTAAATGTCACTTCTGCTTTTATCGTAACTCTGTTCTTTGGCACTTTTAGGGAATAAATTCTGGTGAAATTCATTTAGAAATTGTTCTTTAAACGGACATGTATTTGTAAAAATTGATGGACTTTTTTTCCCACTTGAAGATAATTTACTTACACATTACACATTTGAGACTGTGATTTGTGTTAGACTTAAGGGTATATGCTACCTAACATATTATATATACATGTGGTTTGCATTAGAGTAAACTCCCTACAATTGTGGTAGATTCCCGAACCTTAAATGTTTTTTAATCTAGACTCAACAAACATTGGGTCAACCATCCAATCAAGTTTTTACCATCGTGCTACTAATATGTAATATAAGTTGTATACACGTCCTCTGCACAACCTGTACATATGTGAACAACTATGAAGAAGCGTCAACAGAAGCAATACTATATGCTTACGAAGACGTCAACCCCATGAACCATGAACCATGAACCATGATACCTAAGTACATACTGTACCTGTGATTTTTTCCAAGAGTGATTTCCCTTGGATATTTCTATTAGCATTAATTGCCTTATAAGTTTCATTGGCATAATTTTTCCTTATTTTTTTCATTCATCAAAGAACAAAGTCCTAATTACTCTTTCAAAATTCCACAGTTTCTTCATGTGGAACTCTTTTGTGATAAAGGTGAAATTCCACGTAAATGAGATTTATTATACATCCTAAATTTTTGTTTATTTAATCATTTTAGGGTGCACAAGTTTTGCAAGTAACAGCTCTAGACGGGGATCGTGACGAGCGTATCAGAAATAATTTAAGATACAGTTTCCTTGATGGTAAGTATCCCATATATTACCTGATATAACACCTGGGGATTTGTGTCACCTCTCAGATGTATAATTTGTGTATATTGGAACAGATCGATTTATTCCATGCTGCAGAGGTTAAGAAAATTTGCTTTTAACATGTTTTTAAATGGTTATGTGATCAATCTTGTTTCATTTAACCATGACATTTAATTTCATCTATAATTTAATCTAGAGATTTAACTGTTTTAACTCATTCACTCCTAAATTTTGTAATAAACTATTCCAACCTTTGAATTGGAAGAGTTCAAATGTGACTTCAGGGGTAAATGAGTCAAATAAGCAAAACCCCTCTGTGTTCCTGCTTCCTTTCTGATTAAGTATGAAGACAGGCCCTCACATTCATCAAGATTGGTGCACTTCCAAGACACTGTTTGAAAATAAAAAGGGGTGTCCAATTGAATTTGTCTATTTAACTTGCTACTACATTAAATTAGCTAAAAACAAAAGGTACCCAGGTGGTGCAGAAGCAGGTTTACATTTCAGCTTTTGTATGTTGAATTCCTTAGTGTTTTGGGAGATACCACAATTGTCACTTATTAGTCCGCCGGCAGTACTACCGAAGGAGATTATTATATGTTTTAGCTCATTTGTCAATATCCTGATTCATCTTTCCGTCCCAAAATTTTGTCCAAGGCAATTATGTCTTGCATTGTTTCACCTGGAGTTGGAATTTACATAAGTCTTGAGATGGCAGAGTGTCGCATAAAAATGTAGGTAACTGTGACCTATATACGTTGACCTCTGACCTGGACCTAAACAATTGATACAGTTTATTGTGGCATTGTCTAACTATTTCAAACGAAATTTGATGCAGACGACATCTTGGGGATGGCGGAGTGTCACATACGAAAAGTAGGTCACTGTGACTTATAGTTTGACCACTGATCCCAATTATTGAAAGGATTCGTTTGGGAGATATTTCTAAAACCTATCAACCTCAAGTTATTAAATTTGATGTGCTGGACCATAACTTGAATTTTTGCTGTTTCTAATAAAAACTAGGTCACTGTGACTTATATGTTTACCTCTCAATGCAAATTTTTTATGGTGGCAAATATATCTGAATTGACCAATATTTGATCAAATGCAAAAAGTGTCATAGTTAAAGCTATTCCATTCAGTGATAATCTGAGCAAGAAGGACAATGTAAGAAATTCTGATTTCTGATTTCAGAAATGAAATGTGAAGACAAAAAATGAACCTAATTCCTCCAAAATAAAGAGACTTGTCAAGCATAAAAAGACTATTGACTTCCTTGTTCATTTTATTTTATTTGTATTTTTGAGTTGTTAAAGATATATTTTTCTTGGCCAACATTTTTAGATCCATATTTGTAATACATGTGTTTAATTTACTACTGTCTTTTTGTCCTTGGTCGTAAAAGATGATGATTTTTGTTCTCGAACTCCTGAAGAATTTCACGAAGGATATTTTACATTACAGGAGACTATGAGAACTTTGCTCTAAACAGCACTACGGGCTGGATCACGGTGAAGAACGAATTAGACCGCGATAATCCCATAATTCAACAGAGAGGAGGGGTATACGCATTTTCAGTAGAGGTGAGTATATCATGGTTACGATTTTGCAAGCACAGAATGACTTACGATGGAAAAAATTGTTTGTATTTTTCATTGTGAATGGTAAGTGTTTATTGTTTTGGCAGAGTTATGACCTTATACAAATCTTCCATTGAAAACTAAACTCAAAAAATTGAATATATATTCTTTAAGAAAATATGTAGATCAAATCTCTTGTAATACAAAATGTACTGGTACGGGTTAAAGAGCCAAGCAGTTTCCAAAATTTATCTGTGCATCATATCAGTGTTTCAATACAATGTTATTATTTAAATCAAAATTGTGTCACAAGCTTTCAACACCCTGTGTTGTTTTAGGTTGCAATATTAAAACACTGCATAGCGTAAATCAATACATTTTGCCACTTCTTATTTTTTCGTATTTGTCATTTTAACGACATAATAATTATTCCAAAGGTTTTAAATCAGGGAATGAACAATAGCAGGTACCTATATACCTTGATTGAATGATTCGGATGAATCAGAAAATACTTGTGATTAACGATTTTTTGTCTTTTTGCCAGGCAACAGAAATTGTCAACCCTGGCGATTTTAACGTCGGTAGTATCAACGCCACAACATTAGTCACGATCACCGTCAAGGATGTTAACGACAACCCGCCGACATTCACCAACACGTCATACGATGCCACCATTTTGGAAAACATGCAGGACGGCGTGCCCGTGTCCTTTATAGGGTCAACAAAGTTCATGTCTGTCAGTGATAAAGATCAGGTAGGTGTGCCTAAAAAAGTTGATAATTAAACATTTACACTTACATTGCATAGACGGGATATGGGTGGGATTGGATAGGGGGTGTTGTATGCCTCCAGGTAGTTTTGGACTTGCTGTTTTCCTTGAGTTAAGAAACTTAAGTGGTTTATTGAAGTTCTGTTCATCATTTATATGAAGAAAAAACATCACAGTAGCTCTTATCTAAAAAGTTTGAAAGGAATAAACAAGATTAGAAACAACAAGATTTCAATAAATTTAGTTCCTAATCAATCAATATAGGTATACTGGGGTATTTTTTTTCTGACTAGATGTCAAGCTAATCATAAAGGTAGGAAGAACTTCATTTAGATGTTTCAGTACTTTATCTCTTTGAGAGTATTATTTTTTGTGACGTTAACTACCAAATTAAAGTTTTGAATACATACAGTATTTGTTATCTATCAACACATATGTCATTTATTACAGGGTAAAAACAGCTACTTTGTTCTGAGTCTACAAAAAGATGGCAAGCCTTACTACGATTTCGCTCCACTTCCTAACGAAGTTTTCTCCGAATCCACCATACTTATTCGTGTCAACAATAGTAGTAACCTTGACTACGAGAAGATGACCTCTGTAAAATTTCAGGTAACTTAATTGATTGAGGGATATGTGTTTAAGGGGATATCTTTTTTCATAAGGATATGAATTCTATAATTAAGCTATTCAGACTTAGAAAAAGATTATTAAAAAAAAGGGAAAAATTTATAAAATAAAAACCAATAATGAAAAAAGAAAATTCTTAAACTCAAGTATTTTTAATAAAATTCTGCTGTTGTAAAGATAAAAATGATAGAGACGCTGTACTGCCCTTTATATCTGTAATCTGTTGCACTATATAGTAACAAAATAACAAAATAACAAAATGTGACAATGAAAGTAAAAAATACCTCCTTAAACATTTTCTTTGACCTTTGACCTCTGAACTGTAGATCGTTGCTAAGGAGGTTGACACTGTCGAGAAGAGAAGTAGCACTGCTGACATCACTGTACACATCGAGGATATGAATGACAACCCTCCGGTGTTTAATCAGAGTGTCTATACAGCAAACGTCCAAGAAAACATCCAACTCGGCTTCACAGTTATGAAAATTACGGTAAGTATCTGGTTTTTACAGAGTTAAAGATATATGCTACCTGGATGTGACATGCAGGATCTCCAAAACTGAAGAGCTCCACACTTAAAACAATAAAAGTACCTATACAATATATCTTCATAATACAAGATTTTGCAATGTTCAGTCTGTAATTTTAAAAATTGCTCTTGATTTTGCCAGAACAATGATATTTCCTGTTGAATTTGCAGATTCAATGTATACTCTGCAAATATTGCTCACATTTTCTTTTACCAATATACATTAGTTTCTAAATATTATTTAGTGCTATTAAAAAACATATATATATTTATAATGAGGGAGATGACTCTGACACATATCACAAGTTAAAGGCAGCATATATCCCTAAATACATTCATAACTTTTTCAAAATTGATATAAGCTGAAACAACTATTTTTTTGGCACCTAGGAATTAATATTTGCAGGAAAAATATATTTCTTGCAATATTTTCCTTTTGTGAAATCCATAAACAAATGAGAGTGGGCTAAAATACTTATTACATACTTTAAAGATAAATTTATTGAAAAATTTGTTTCATAGAAGGGCAAACTTTTGATCTTCATGATTTCCAGTTGCTGCCTAATTCTCAAGTTTGTTTGGCTTAATTATAAATTAAAACAGTTAAGAAAAAAAGAGCATATTAAATCTTCATGCTGCTTTTCTACCATTAGGTTCTCAATATCATGATTTGAATGCATTTCTGCAAATTGTTAATTAAGCCAGTGATTTTATTACAGATCTCAAGTCATCAGAAACACATTGGGAACATTTAATCAATGTATTGACTTCTTTCTCAATTGAAGAAAGCATACCAAATTGATGATTCTGATTTTTTATCGTGCAATTGTTTTCCAGGCAAGTGACCTTGACTCTGGAAGTTTTGGAAAGTTAACATACTCACTGAGAGGAGGCAATGGAAGGTAGGTTTGGCTGAAGTCTGGAACGGAATTAGCTGTTTAAAATATTTATAATGTCGATTTGATAGTATTGTTAACAAGAGGAGAGTTTAATCCTATAGGGAAGTTAGGATGTAGGTTGATTTTTCTCTGTTAACAAGTATTTGTTTTTTGAGGATTTTGAAAATGTTTGAACCTGCAGTCAGATAGCCCTGTTACGTAACACACTATAGTATCATATTTTGTTTAGCTGAATGTTTAACCCTTTCACCACTGTAGACCAAAATGGACTCATCCAGATCAATGCATGGTAGAGTCTACTAAAGTTACATAGGGGTGAAAGGGTTAATCCATGAATAAAACTGTTCACAGGTTTGACATAAATGATGAGACAGGCGTTGTGACAGTGGATGGCCTCCTTGACCGTGAGACAGTGGAAGAATACTACCTCACAGTGGAGGCTAAAGACGGGGGAGGATTCAGGTCTACGGCCGAGCTACGGGTCAACATCACTGACAAGAATGACATGATTCCAACGTTTCGTCGTGACGAATACTTCAGCAGTGTCAGGGAAAATAATCTTCATTTCATACGGGGGCCACTTTTTGTGGAAGTGAGTGACGTTTTGTTTCAATAATTCACAGGCATTGAGCTCTGCTCTTTTTTTTCAAATTAATCTGCGATAATTCTCACACAAACAATTTTATTTTAGAAATTTTTAGTTTCAATTTTTGGCATTTGGTGCCAGTTGGTCTGTCTGTTCCGTCATTAATCAGAGTTGATTCGACTAGATGTCGGTGTTAAGGAGCCTGACGCGGACATCTGTGAAGCATTATATTTACTGCAACTTTTTATGAAATGCAGATATTTCATTTTGCATGATAGCCATATAGCATTATTCATATTAAATACATTTCTGTTTCGTTGAAAACATTAAATAATTGAGATGATATGAATTATCTTGATTTAAATGGAACATTTTCAGTTCCTTGATGCAAATTGGTGATACAAATGCCGCGATAACAACTGGGTGATAAACATTTCATTTCCTAATATCCCACAATCAGTACTATTTTTATACAACAATGATAGAGGGTACAATGAGAGTTAACCTTTTCTGTATGTCCGTCGATATGACATTTGGATGGATTTTGCATTTAGCTCCTTTACTTTAAAACTAAAAGGCCTACCGACATCAAACTTCATGAGTGGATACATGTGCACGTGTACTAGTATTTAAAATGTAGGTCATTGTGACTCATCTATTCTGCTTTACAGATTTTGGTTAACCATTGTCAAATAATGGGTTCTAGAGCATATATCGGCAGCATTTTCATGAATAGGCATTAAACTTTGTATAGAGGTACATTATGCAAAAGGGGTGTGTCACATCCTAAAAAAAGGTCACTGTAAACTCAATTTGACCTTCGATCTTGACCTCAAGTTCTCATATAATGGTTTCTGGATCATATCTCAGCAGCTTTTTCATGAATGGGCATAAAACTTTGTATATACCAGTAGATACATTATGGGAAAGTGGTTTGTCACATCCAAAAATGAGGTCCCTGTAACCGTAATTTGAACTTAATTGACCCCAAGTACTAAAATAAAGTTTTCCAGAGCATATCTCAGCTGCTGTTTCATGAATGGACATCAAACTTTGTTTATAGGTACATCATGGGAATGTGGTGTGTCACATCCTAAAATGAGGTCACTGTGACGTCACCTCAATTTGACCTGTGACCTCAGTACAACATTTAAGTGTAAATCAGGTTTCTGCAGCATATATAGGTCAATGTTTTATGACTGCATGATCTCAAAGACGTGTGGAGCTGAAGTATCCATGATTTAAGCCCATGCATAGAGTTATATATCTAATTTTAGCTATTGGTTATTCTTTCATTTTAATTGAATGATGGTTTTTCTAGGCATACGATGACGACCAGCCAGGTACCAATAATAGTGAAGTGAGATACAGAATCGTGGATATCCCTGCAGGGCTGGACCACAACTTCACGATCAACAGTACATCCGGGGAGGTAGCAGTCACTTCCCCACTAGACTATGAAAAACTTGACCCAACATTGAAGGGCAAGGTTCTCCTCCAGATAGAGGCATACGACCTTGGAATTCCCCAGAAAAGACGGTCCATTCCCGTCACCATAGAGGTTGAGGTATGTGTGAAGTAGGCTTGAAGAGACCAATTTGTGTTTACATATATGAAGATACCACGGAATATTACTTAATAAATATCAAAGGTGCTGGTTGATTTTTATTCTCCTCGCCATTTTATGTTCGGGGGATAAATAGTGTTATCAATGTCCATCGCATGGATATGAAACTTGCAATTGACTAGTACTGTTAAATTGAAAATGCGAAATTGGTTTTAAGATTGTTTTTTTTTAAAGTAAGAGTTGTTCATGATAACAGCATCAGTATCATCTGGATTAAAAGACATCAGTGTCTATGACATTAAAGAAGTCTTTTTACTGGGTCCCAAAAAAAATGGATTAAAAGACATCATCTGGATTAAAAGACATCATCTGGATTAAAAGACATCAGTGTCTATGAGATTAAAGAAGTCTTTTTACTGGGTCCCAAAAAGCCTGCTTTTCTTTTAAAGTAGATCTTTTTGCAAGGTTTTTAAATGTTTTTTAAAGTATCAGCAAAATTGAAGATTCTCATTATCCAGTTATTTATTTTTACAGGATGAGAATGACAATGCCCCGATCTTTGCACAGACAACATACACCGCAGATGTGATGGAGAACGCCACAGAAGGAACGATGGTTATACAGGTACATGCTACGGATGCTGACGGCACCGATCTCAACCATCAGTTCCTGTATCGTATAGACAGTGGGGCACAGGACAAGTTTCGCATTGACTTCCAAACAGGGAACATTACAGTGGAAAAGGGGGCTAAACTTGACCGAGAATCTCTCGGCAATTACACTTTGATCATTTCCGCCACTGACCGAGGTATAAAATCCCTGGTGGAGAATTGCGTGGTCAAGGTCACAATATTAGACGTCAATGATGAGCTGCCCGTGTTTTCACCAGTGACGAAATCTGTTAGCGTACTTGAAGATATTGGAGTGAATGAAGTTGTCACCCGTTACTCAGCAAGTGACTCTGATATTAACCATAACCTGAGGTACAGTGTGATCCCAGGATCTGTCCGTGCTGTGGACGAAAACAGTCAGACTGTGGATATTCAAGCAAATAACATACAGGTAAGGACGAAGTGACTCAGAGAAACAATGTGGTACTTGGTATATATAGATTGAATCTTATAATCGTCAAAAAAGAGAGAGAAAAACGGAAACAACAAAAATAATCAAAAATTTGTTTAAAGTGACATGAAACAGATATCCTCAATGTAATATTCACCCCTACATATCTAAACTGGACTTGCCCAGTCATTGATTTGGCATTGTTAATGTTTCACTAGTTAAAATTGAAATTTAGATTATTTTAATTTTGGTATTGAATATACCTCTGTTGACAAAATAGCTAAAGACCAATTAATTCTCTTTATTCAAGTGAATTTGAAATTCAGTTTTAAAAAAAATACATTTGTAGATATGCAAATATTTAAATAAAGGACTACTAATAACTGGTAAAGCTCAGTGCAAGAGCAAATTTATAAAATTTGAATTCATTTACCTCTTGTAGTAATGTTAATACTTATTTGGTGATAAAACAGAAATCAAGCTAACAATGAGAACCTCATTTTGGATTTCAGAATTACTTTAAAGTCCTACCAGATACTGGTGACATTGTCGTGAAGTCTGTGCTGGATCGGGAGACAGCAGAACGGGTAGTCCTAGAAATCCTGGTGGAGGATCTGAATGCTTGGCATCCATCTGTACAAAACGCCACAGGTAAGTAAACTTACACTTAATATCAAAGTTGGTTGATATGTATCTTTTTTTTTATATATATTAAATAGTATTGGATGTGTGGTTACTAGGAACCAAGGTTATTTAATTGTTTTATTGTATTGTTTAAATGTCTGACGCAAGTTGCCTATGTCAACAGACCCAATATTTATAAAACCATTTTGCGCTTAGACTCAAGTTTTGTGCTCTAGCTGACAAACTTTCTTGTAACATATGGACATCTTGTGGTGGGTTCCATAAGGCAAACACTTAAGTCTGAGGATGGGGACAGTAGCAAGTCTCAGCTCATAGTACAGAGAAATTAAAATATTTCAATATGTTTCAAAATAATTTTGTCGCTTAAATAAGGATTTGAGTATTAGTACAGAATCAAATTTGAGCATGGCAATAGTTTAATGAATACATGTAAAGCAAGAGTCGAATGCACTAACAAGCGTTTTTGTTATGAGTTTTGATTATAATGTAAACCTGACTTATATGTATTTATTACTTAATACTACGAAATTTTGACACCTTGACATGTTGAGCTAGAACATGGTCAGTGAGATGATAAATTGTTTTTGCTTCAAGAATATTTTCTTTAAACTATTTGCTTGTGAAACTAAAAAAAAATGAAATTTATACAATTTAATTTGCATTCTCATTGTGTATACAACTTTTTTACAGCAACTTTGACAATCGATCTGATAGATGTCAATGATAATCCCCCCCAATTTGTGCCCAGTGCTTTGTACAAGGTGAATATATCAGAGGGCAGAGACATCAACGATTTCGTAACCATGGTGGTTGCTACGGATGCCGATAAGAATCAGCAGCTGCAGTATTTTATCGCAGAAGATACATCTAATTCTTTCAAAATATTGGATCCAAGTGCAGGTTAGTTTAAATTGAGGTCTGGTTTCTTGATAGGTATTTCAAGGTTAGTTTTGCCTTTTTATTTCAAGGTTACTACGTAACGAGCTGAAGGCATAATTATTTCTTAATATGAAAGCCAGGAGTATATGATCGTGAACCATTAAGCAATACGTAGAATGGTTGTAATACGTTTGTAAACATCCTAAATAAAACATTGAATGACCTTGAATTTATCACTATAATACTTGTATTTAAGTAGCAATGAACGTATACTACTTATCCTTTTAAATTTAACCTGATTTAATCCCAAAAACTTGCCTATTTTGAGCACTGATATTGGTTCCTGTGCTGGTCATTCTGGACAGGTATCCCAGTGTACATTGAAACCTTTCTAATCAGACCTCTGAGTTCTCCAACTCCATGTATAATCTGACCAATATGTTGTGTTCACAATGATGTCTGATAAGACAGCTAGGTTTCACATACATTCATGTAAAAAATGATATTTGATAATTTTCAAAAAAATAATGTCTGTTCTTTATAAGGAGGGAGACAGCCAGTTTGTTGTGGTTTCTGTCACCTTTTGTCTGAAAATTGTAAAGGAATTTTTAATAGATTTTACTTTGAACTTAAAATACACAAAAAACGAAAATTATTTCACTTTTTCAGGTAAGAATTGTGATGATGAAATCTGTTCAGTGCAAGTTCATACTATCAAACACCTTTATCATAGAACATCAGAACAAATTAAACCTTGTGTAGTTGTCAAAAGATGGATAACAGTTCTACAAAAATATACTTTCTCTATTTATTCAGCAATAAGGCCATACCTGGTGATAAGCCCGCCCATGTCACATAAAATTAAGACAAAATACTGACCTATGCTATTTTATTGTCCAGCAATAAGCCCAGCCCTTCCTTACTTTGAGTCAGGGTTAATGTGCTTGCTCCCTGGGCTTATTGCAGGATAATTATAACAATATCAGTCTAAATCTAGACCCAAATATGATCTTAATTAATTTATTTCCCTTCGATACAGGTCAGATATTGCTGAAAAAGAAACTCGACAGAGAGTTAGCCCCTACTGTAGATTTCAAGGTCGTTGCTATGGACAGCGGATCATCTCTTAGGCTGTCCTCAACAGCTACAGTCATAGTAACAGTGGTAGACATCAATGACAATCCACCAAAGTTTAACCCACACTTCAATGTGTTACGTGTACCAGAGGACGCCAGCAACGGCACCGTCATCGCCACCATTAACGCTGTTGATGTGGACACAGGAATATTCGGTCAAGTTTTCTATGTATTGAAAGTTTCTCCGGATGATCACAACTTTGCTATCAGTGAAGTAACGGTGAGCAAAATTAGCATCAAGAGAGTTTTTTATAAGCTAAAAATTAGAAAGATTACATTTATGGAAAAAGGGGTCTTTCTTTCCTGTATGTGGGATTTTTTTTTTATCATTTTCTTGATAATTTGAGTTGTTAGAAATATTACCTGTTAATTTTATTGTAAAATACTTGTGTGGTTATTTCAGGGTGAGATATATGTAGATGGTAGCCTGGACAGAGAGCGTCGACCTTCAGGTTACAGTGTAGAGGTGTCCGCCACTAACAGTCTGGACCCTGACAACCAGTTGTCTAGTTCCACAGGGATCATACAGATTGACGTTCTGGACATCAACGACAACAAACCAGATATCACCAGTACCCAGGGTATCCTTAAGTCGCTCAAAGAGGACGAAGGTATTGGTACCGAAGTGTGTCGTGTCCAGGCACAGGACCCAGACATGGGGCTCAATGGCACGGTTACCTTCTCCCTGACAGCAGATAGTAACACCACAGGTAGGTCACATTTACCACAGGTAGGTCATAGCAGGTTCACATATATCACAGGTAGGTCAAATAAAGGTTAAATTAACCACAGGAAGTCATAGGCAAAATTTACCACAGGTAGGTCATAGCAGGTTCACATATACCACAGGTAGGTCACATTTACCACAGGTAGGTCATAGCAAGTTCACATATACCACAGGTAGGTCAAATAAAGGTTAAATTCACCACAGGAAGTCATAGGCAAAATTCACCACAGGTAGAATATACCAAAGTCAAATATACCACAGGTAAGTTATATAATTATGGCAAGGTCAAGTTTACAGGTAGGATATATCCTGGCCAATTGTTATCACAGGCATAATGTATCATATATTAAGTATTGTTCTCAGATATGTTTTACTTTGTAATGAGCCGCATAACTCATTTACTTATGTATGTTGCAGGTGGGTTTGAATGGTTCTCAATAAGTACAGTGCCGAATACGGCGACGGGACAGAACGAGGGGGTAATGACTCTGAGGCAGAGTATACTGGACAGGGTCGGAGAATTCTATGTGACGGCCCGAGCATCTGATCAGGGAACCCCAGCTCTTTTCTCAGAGAAACAGCTCATGATCACAGTAAAGGATGTTAATCGTGACCAGCCAACCTTTGTAAGACCAGCAAGGGACAGTGAGGTCGTCTATGTTAAGGAGGTCTGTATCTCAAATCTAAGACCACAATGTTGCTCGAAGCAAGTTTTTCATTCGCACATTTTCAACCCACATTCTCATACGCTTTCTATTATCAAACATTTTGAACCCACATTCTCATACGCTTTCTATTATCAAACATTTTCAACCCGCATTCTCATACGCTTTCTATTATCAAACATTTTCATCCCACATTCTCATAAGCTTTCTATTATCAAACATTTTCAACCCACATTCTCATATGCTTTCTATTATCAAACATTTTCAACCCACATTCTCTTATGCTTTCTATTATCAAACATTTTCAACCCACATTCTCATATGCTTTCTATTATCAAACATTTTCAACCCACATTCTCATGATCATAGGCTTTCTATTATCAAACATTTTCAACCCATATTCTCATACGATTTCTATTATCAAACATTTTCATCCCACATTCTCATATGCTTTCTATTATCAAACATTTTCAACCCACATTCTCATGATCATAAGCTTTCTATTATCAAACATTTTCAACCCATATCCTCATACGCTTTCTATTATCAAACATTTTCATCCCACATTCTCATAAGCTTTCTATTATCAAACATTTTCAACCCACATTCTCATACACTTTCTATTATCAAACATTTTCAACCCACATTCTCATGATCATAAGCTTTCTATTATCAAACATTTTCAACCCATATTCTCATACGCTTTCTATTATCAAACATTTTCATCCCACATTCTCATAAGCTTTCTATTATCAAACATTTTCAACCCACATTCTCATAAGCTTTCTATTATCAAACATTTTCAACCCATATTCTCATACGCTTTCTATTATCAAACATTTTCAACCCACATTCTCATACACTTTCTATTATCAAACATTTTCAACCCACATTCTCATGATCATAAGCTTTCTATTATCAAACATTTTCAACCCATATTCTCATACGCTTTCTATTATCAAACATTTTCATCCCACATTCTCATAAGCTTTCTATTATCAAACATTTTCAACCCACATTCTCATAAGCTTTCTATTATCAAACATTTTCAACCCATATTCTCATACGCTTTCTATTATCAAACATTTTCATCCCACATTCTCATAAGCTTTCTATTATCAAACATTTTCAACCCACATTCTCATAAGCTTTCTATTATCAAACATTTTCAACCCATATTCTCATACGCTTTCTATTATCAAACATTTTCATCCCACATTCTCATAAGCTTTCTATTATCAAACATTTTCAACCCACATTCTCATAAGCTTTCTATTATCAAACATTTTCAACCCATATTCTCATACGCTTTCTATTATCAAACATTTTCAACCCACATTCTCATACGCTTTCTATTATCAAACATTTTCACAAGGTGACATTCTCTTTCTGTTGAGTGTGGACATTCCTACTTAGAAGGTGTACTTGTTCTTATTTTCACATTTTTATAAGCTCACATTACACAAAGGTACGTTCTCAAAACACATAGCTTTTCACAACGTTTTCATATTTTCACAAGCTCATATAAACATGATACCACATTTTCACAAGCTCACATAAACATGATATCACATTTTCACAAGCTCACATAAACATGATATCACATTTTCACAAGCTCACATAAACATGATATCACATTTTCACAAGCTCACATAAACATGATATCACATTTTCACAAGCTCACATAAACATGATATCACATTTTCACAAGCTCACATAAACATGATATCACATTTTCAAAATATGCAGTAATTCACAATTTGCACATCCTGGTTCCACATGCTCACTGTCACATTCACACAAACTCACATCCTGATTCCACAGGCTCACTGTCACATTCACACAAACTAACATCCTGATTCCACAGGCTCACTGTCACATTCACACAAACTTACATCCTGGTTCCACAGGCTCACTGTCACATTCACACAAACTCACATTCTGAAAATCTCACATTATCTGTATTAGCTTTGCGTTTCATGATGTCATATATTTCTTGAATGCACAGTCTCAAAAGTCAAGCATATATTTGTATTAAGATGTTTTTGATAAAAAAAAAAGATTTTGTAAGAAATATTCAACAAAAATATATTGGTAGAAAACTGTCTGTCATGGATATAAATTATATAAAGTCATTATAACTATATAGCTTTTACAAAATTTCGTCTTGTATACAGGAACAGGAAGGTGCCCATGTGATGATCGTCAAGGCAATCGACAACGACCATGGCGAGAACGGACGAGTACGTTACAATATATCACTGGTCAAGGATTTCATCTACTTCAAGCTTGACCAGGACTCAGGGCTGCTGACCATCAACGGAACACTAGATAGGGAGGATCCCACGCACCAGGGAAAATACCAGGTATTTGAATATTGTTCATGTCTCTTTTACTAGAAATATGAAGAAATGATTTACCTTTTTGAAAAGTATGTTTGTAGATGCAGGAAGACAAACAAAGTAAAGATTTTACTGCACCTATTTAGGTCACATCAGTGGTACTAAAGGTTAAAGGTTAAAGGTTGCAAACTTCATGTCGAAAATGTCCCAACTCTTATGTAGAACACAGAAAAAAGGGGAAAGAAACTATTTTAGAAGACATTTCAGGATTTGACCTTTTCAAGACAAATCTGTTTCATTAGTCAAATTGTTTCACCAAGTTTGCATTGTCCTGTGTGATATTATACCACCATTATGGCATGTATAACATTAATGTACAGATATATCATCAATTAAAGTTACCAACCAATCCATTGAACCTGCCTTGTTTCAGATAAAGATCAATGCCTTTGACAACGGCTATCCTAAAAGCTACATCAGGTCAACCAACCTAATCATCCAGCTTTTGGATGTCAATGATCAGGATCCAGTGTTCGAGAGGACGCCTAGCATGGAGCCTTTCATCCTCGGACCAGTTCCCGAGGAACAAGCAGTGTCTTTAGTCGGCTATGTCAATGTTTCTAAAGATGCAGATACAGATCTGAACTTCACTAAAACGTGTTATCACATCGTTGGTAAGATATTTTATTTTGAAAAAAACAATTATGTTTATTATATAATCATCGATTATGGGACTCTGAATTTTGCAGCAAGGTTTCACGAACCCTTGCATGGGATGAAACATATTTCTGATTGTCATCTGCTGGAGGGCACTTCTGGGACTTACGTTTTGGTCATATGGCATTTAACATCTTCAGAAAAACTATGGTTATATGAAGACAAGTTCCTAGGGCGCAAAACATAACAAAGCATGGACGAGAGAAAAGAAAATGTATGCATCTGAAGTGTTGTAATGGGGATAGCAGATTAACTAGGATTGGTCCTTCAATGTTCACCTAACAGAAGACAGAGAAGAAAACCCTTAATTCTGATGACGGTCCCGCATTGGTCGCCTCTTACAATAACGCGCAGTTGGAGGATACAGCAGGCCTCATACATGTATCTCATTTTACTGCTATGAAATTACGTAAACTGTTTACATTCCAAAGACTTTATAGAGCTTCGTTTGCTCCTTTCTCCAGAGTATGTTTCTCCGAAAAATAGGCCTATTGAAAATACCTGGTATATATACCTGAGAATTGATACAAAAAGCTTACTTATATTACATAGCAAAAGTAAAAAAAAAAGTAATTTCATGAATTCCAAGGTTTATTTGCAAAGTTTAACTGACGGAAAAAAGCTTTATAGTAATTGGTTCAGGTTTGTGTTTGTTCGTGAAAGTCAAGCGTTCGGTACAGCTTATTCGATGTGTCATTGATACCCTCTGTTTTAAAACTGATGGCATATGGTAATCTGGGGATGGTAGAGGTTGACAGTGATGCAGTTGTGAAGCTTTCGAGTGTCAATTAAACGTTCACGTTGCCTTGCCAAATCCATTATTTTTAAGTTTGAAAGACGGGGAAATATCACGAGATTTTTGGGGTGATATTCTTGCCACCACATAGGCATGTAATTCACCAAAAAATACTTGCTTAATTACTTTGGCCAAAACTCATTTCAAATTGATGCTCTTTGTTTAGAAAACCTGAAAGTGCTATGAATGGTATTACAGATCACAAAAAAATAACTTTAGAGTATTAATTTTGTAAAGTTGCTATTTTTCTAATACGTATAAACATTTCAAATCCTCTTAACAGTCTTGATATTTTCATTTGCTTAAAAAGAAACTGAAACATGTGCCTTTAAAAACAAAACAAACACAACCACTTGATGTATAATGGTTCTTATTGAAGCTTTGAGGATAAGGTGGGAATGTACCTTTCATGGTGTTAAATTATTAACACCTTTTTTCTTCCGTTAACCTCACACCTAATGTATTGGAGTGTCAGTTAAGCTCTGAGAACAGTTATTTTCATAAACACCTTAAATAAATCATAGTCCCTCTAGGAGTTGCACTTCAGCAATTTTAAAACACTTTTGTATCTGGAAACGATTTCAGAAAATATACTTGTGAAATTTAATTTGTCAAAACCGTATTATATTTGACAAACATTGAACATAATTTGATTAGTATGTCGCCGGTTAGGTGAAACTTTAATTAAGATCCCTTTTATTTTTTACCCTTCTTCAATTACCTGTATATTTGAATTTGATCATGAATGTCTTGTAGGGGGCAGCATGATTGATTATTTTCACCTTAACGTGACGGGGGAGCTTTACATAAAAAAGGCCATTGACAGAGAAGGTGGAATCAATGGACAATCAATAGACTCTATAGATTTAGTTGTCTGGGCAACGCCACTTTGCTATCTGGAAACGGGTGCCACCTCCAGGAAGAAAAGGTCGACAAATTTGCGTTTGGCACCTATAGAGTATGACCCTAGAAACACCACGTTACTCTGGGTACAGGTGAAGATTGGCGACGTCAACGACCACGCCCCCATGTTTAAAGAGTCTCTACTCAGTATTGGCGTCAGTCGTAAAACTCAACTTGCAGAAATCATCTACAAATTACACGTACGTTGAGATTTTTTATTATACCGATATCACAGCAATTACTATCAATCATGACACTAGTTTCGGAACTTTTGTCATTTACTTTCAAGCAATTGCAAGCTCTTGGATTAAAGTGTAATTGTGTAAAAGTTTGAAAATGGAATATGAAAGGTTACTATATATCAAACAATCCATGAAAAAAGAAGATTGGTAATGTTCAATTTGAAGAATAGCACATTTAAAGGTATTTGTCTGAATTGATAAAGAAAGGTTGGATCTTAGCATATTTCATGTGATATAAGAACATGCCGGTTAGAAATACATCAATTCTGTGAATATGTATGAGGTATTTGAAATTTCTGTTTTCAGAATGATGTGATAGATGAAGATATTGGTAAGAACCGAGTCCACAGATACCGTATGAACAGTATAGACTTCACGCCCTACGCTGGAAGTACCAACCAACCCCAGTCCACAGTCAACTCCTCCTTCTATCTGTTCCCGAACAATGGCACCATCAAGACCAGCACATACTTCCGCTCCGACCTGTCCGGATATTACCGCATGAACGTGTCTGTTATGGATACGGTGGCTCCTTTCTACTCTAGTAACGCTATGATACGGGTAAGCAGCACAAATATGTTATTGTTACAAAGAGTATTGAAAATATATTTACACAGACTGCCTCAGTTGAAGAAACCCTTCATATATCTAGGCCTTCATTGTATACTTATAGAAGAATCTCTTTCCAAATACAGGCCTTCGTTCTAGCAGGCAGATTTAATCTGTGTCCTGAAAACACCTCTTTTGAAAGAGCTTTTTATATCAGCACCTTGATAGAAATATTTTTACCTATTTGAAGAAATCTTTTTCTCTCATCTTTGATAGAAGAATTCTTTACCTGACAGGAGATATAATCTTCTTTGAGAATCCTTTGAAAGATTCCTTTTATATATTCTGTGCATCATTATTAAAAGTACCTCCTGAAACAAATCCTCCTTTGAAAATAACGACATTTTGGACATATTTATTCCTTCATTGAGGGACCACCTCCTTGGAGAATCCTTTTGAGAGACCGCTTTTATATATCAAGTACATTATTAATACCATTAATTTTACCAGTTTCGCGAAAACACATCCGTAAAAGACCTGCTTGATAACATCCACAGTTGAATTAGCAGAAGCACGTCAATTTTGTTATAAGAAACCAGTACCTCCTTTGATAGCTCACTTTGTCCGTCTTTTCTGACATCATTAACTACTAAAACACAGGATGGATAACGCAGTTCGTCAGTAAGGTCAGGTTACAGACGGGGACAGTCATGTTAACGCATGAGGCGACTAATGAGTAGACCCCTGCAGAATGAAAGGCTTTCTTCCATGTCTTCTGCTAAGGACACACTGAAGAAACAAAGACTGACCTGCTGCTTTCATTGCAACATTTGATATCTTCATAATTTTGTTCTCACTTCTCTACACCTTTTGTGCTGTCTCCCTAGGCATCTGTTAGCATTAACCCAAGCAAACAAACATACACATTGTCTTTTTGGGATATTACGTCTTTTATTCCAGGATCTCATTCTTATCAGGTTTTGGCAAGGGCAGGTTTCACTTTATAAACAAATTGAATCGATGTGAGAGAGCATCTGTCTTAGGAACACGTTTTTATCCGGAGAGAAAACAAGTTCATGTGGCAACCAATATTTCGAGGGATATTTGTCAGGCAGAACATAAAACATATTTAAATCAAATTAGCGCTAAGTTTTTGTTGAAATTCTTTCAATATTGATGTGTAGTGTAAGTCCTTTTGTAAAGACACCAATAAGGATGATAAAAATCATCAATGATATTTTAATTCAATATTACATCCTACTTCTAAGATCCAACGAATATCCTAAATAGTCAGTCAACATGACGATGACCTTGTTTATGTGTATAGCCTATACAATTATATAAAAAACAAGATTGATACCATCATCAAAGGTATAAATACCTTATTAACAGAACTCTTCCGTACATGAACTCTTGACTACAGGCCATTAATACAGTTTCGTTGAGGAGATAAATTTGATGCATTTTTTTGGCATTCGATGAAAACATTTTGATGATACAATCTGACTTTTAGAGAAACCAATCTTTTCAACTTGTTTCGTTTTATGTTCGATAAAAGAGATTTGATAACCAAGGTACAGTACTGCATTACTGATTCTGCCAAATTTGATAACAGTAACTTTCTACTGATAAAAAAGTAAGATTGTGGTGATTTTATTTTCCAGATATCCTTGATCAACGATAATCAAAGGGTCAAAGTTATTTTCAGGAGTTCAGTTGAAGCAGTGAAAAACATCTCTTCCCGGTTTAGAGAGTAAGTTTTCGTGTCTGGATGGATTGGCCTAGGGGTCTGTATGTTATCTAAATCTACATTCCGTGCTTCATGTACTTTTTAATGAAGATTTGAATTTATTAATTTTCAGTTCACATTATTGGCAGTGATTGCTTACAAGAAAGATAAAAATAGAATTATTTCATAAAATCTAAATTAAAAACAAAAGATATTGGATATAGCATGAAGTCGTGTACAATGATTATCGGAATTTTTGTTGTCTGTAAAACAATATTAAATCATCTGATTCAACCTAGCAAGTGCTAACGTGAACATTTTGTTTGAACCAATAAGTGCACGGTAGTTAAATAAATAATTGATATAATCCAATCGCATCATGTGATTTGAACGGTAGTTCAAATTTAATATTTCTATAGCTTTAAGATAAGATTAACTGATATTTTCCTGACACAACCAAGTTAAATCGGTATATTGGAACATTTTTCTTTTCTTGTTGCAGTGATCTGGAGAAAATTACAGGCTACAGGATAGTGGTAGATCAGATACAGACTCATGAAAACACAGAGGGCAAACCAGAGGTTGACAAGTAAGTTTTTGCTGCATTTATTCTACTCATCTCAATTATTCTGATAACAAATATATCTGAAATATACCAGTTCTTGCAAGGTGGTTTTCAATAGGTTGTTTATGGGGTTTTTTTTAATTTGTTTTGATTCTCGTATATCAGATGTCCTTTTCATCTCAATGTGTTTTATGATTCCTGTAGATTTGACATGATAATTAGTTGCTACATTAATTTTCATAATAACATAAAACAATATTTCTTTTAAGTTTTTAAACCCGTGATTTTGCACTGAAACATTCTATTTTTCCCTTCCGTTTACTTTGTGAAACAGAGTAGAAGTATGAAAACAAGCAATTTTAAAGTTAGTAACAGCTTTGTCTCTGTGGTTTTGAAGATGCAGGATTGTATCTTGAGGTAAAACAACCAGATCTGTTGCTTGATAAACATGTCTGGACATAGAAATATTGACGTTTTTAAAATGTTTTTGAAATTATTAAACAATGGTTACATTGCATTTATGTCAATGTATAGTGGGTTTCGACTGAGGATTATTTATTAAAGTACATTAATTTAACATTTTGCAGACAATTGGAGGAAATGTGTTTCCTGTTTAAGTGTTTAGTTTTTCTATATGACTATCTGCTTTCAAATCATCCCCGTCTACCATCATAACTATGCTGTTATCTGCAATTTGTGAACGTAAATGTGAACGTTAGTAAGTGCATGATTACTCAAGTTTTAATGATGTCAGCATCTCCATAAGTAATACTAATCGTTGTCTTCCTTTTTATTGCAAAACATGTATCTTTGTTATACAGGACCGACATGTTCATCCATGGCGAAGATAAAGTCACCAATAACATCATTGAACCCTCGGAGTTATTGAGGTGAGATTTACTTTACTAAATACTTCTAAGCAACAGGTATTTTCTGTTATTTTATTTCTATAGATAATACTACTGCATTAATTATTATTTGAATTTAAATTAAGTCAAATGTTAAACTGGGCAAATCAGGTAACCATGGAAGTGGATATATCAAGGTTACATTGCAATAACATGTTATTACAGTAAAACAGGCAAATATATTTCCATTTTGGTTTTTTTCCAGTAAAATTGATGCGCATGCAGCAGAACTGATTGGTGTCTTGAATGAGTATAACATTCTTCAGATTGTGGTAAGTTTTTGTCAATTCATGCTTCACCTTAAACCCTGAAACCTTTATTTTTGATTAAAAACAATTACTTTAAGTTTACGGTACAAACGAATATTCAAAATCTTTCAAAAATTGTGTATAAATCAAAAGTTGCCATGCTTTTTTTCAGATTTCAGTGAACAATTGTGAATCAGAGCGTAAGCCTAATTGAATTTTTAGTGATGTGTGAAATAAAAAGTGGAGTTTTAGATATTTTCTTTTCCATAAATGTGAACAGAAATTTGTTTTAAGTTTTTGGTTAAAATATGTACGAATATAAGTCAAGATCTGATGTTGTTTTGGGGGCTTGATCACGTAAAGTTGAAGGTTCCATAATTATTCTTGATGGTAATTGTTGTTCCAATATACAAAAAAATAGTGTCTCGTTTTAGAAACAAAAACATTTTGATTATAGCAGTTGCAATATCTCTGTGTATTATGTTACAGCCAACAACGCAGACCGCCGAGGAAGATGACTCCCAGCGCTTACTAGTGATGGCCATTATCCTTCTAGCAATCATCCTCGGTATCCCCTGTCTTGTACTGGCGATTGTCCTACACATCACCAGGAAACAGTAAGTGTTTGTTAATTTAGATGTCTTTACAAAACCTATGGCCGTACTATGTAAGAGATGAAACTTCTACCCGATATTTTGAATTTGATTCAGAACCAAGGCCTGCAAACCAATCATTGAAAACACTCATTTTAACAATTTGTCTTCAAGCACTCATTTATCAGTATTTAGAAGATGTAGGTCTCGAACAAGAGTTCACCAGATGAGCCTATGTGGGATAGAAGTATTCCTTATTGGTGTCCCACCTAGAACGTGTGTCTTACATGCATAAGATAAGAGAAAACAGTGTCCAATGATGACGGGACCACCCCATGACCATTTTAGAAATATCATCCCACCATAAACATAGCGGTATGAGCCAGTAAAGTTGTGCCTTTAGGGGGACACCACTGGAAAACAAACATAGCACGAGAAGACAAACACATTTTGATATATCTAAACATTTTTAGTGTGTGTTGCATATGCAGTATCACCTTTTCAATATCTCCATTTAGAGCAAATGAATCAAAAGTTACAATTAAACTCCGGGCCCAATATTAGTTATCTCATTTGAACAGTTCCCTCATCATGCCCCACCAACACGCAATTATTTGGATTTCATTGAACAAGAATATCTCCGACTCCAATCAGGGGTACTTATTGCTAAGTTTCTTTTCATATATGGCTTCATTGTATTCAATGTCTAAAAAGGTCCCTGGCAGTTTAATTTTTTTTCAAAAATGTATTATCCAGGGTTCTGGAATTATAGACAAACTGCCCTGAAGCTTTCTTGTCTTATATAGATCACAACACTACAGTTTCTATAATGGCAGAAGAGAAACAACTCTTACTCAAAGCTCCAAGAAAGTCCAAAACTTGATACGTCGCACACTCGATGTGACTGAAAAGATAATTTCCTGAAAAATCATAAAACTGGCCGTAGAATATAACAAATCTTATGGTGTTTTGAGATTTTGAAGCCATTAATAATAACTTTATGTATTCAGTTTACAGTTAAAGGAGATATATTTCGCTGAGAGATTTACGTTTTTTGTTGAATCATTAATTGAGCACTGCCGTATGCAGATTACGCATACATCAAACCATTTTAGACCATACAAATCCTCGATCTAATGCCTGGAAAAAATGTGTTATTCTAAAATGACTAGTTACACAAAGTTAAATATTTCATTACATTGTGTTTGATTTTTAGGTACCAAAGGAAACTGAAGGCAGCAACAGCAATGGCTTACGGTAAATAGGAACAGATATGCATTAATTTTACAAATAATTTCTGAATATGTAGAAAACCTAACTTACGCTTCGCCTGAAAGTCACAGAAAAAATTCAAGCAACTGTTTTATAACTTTAACATAAAACTCTTATGAACACTTGCAAAAACTACCGAAAATATAATATTCTTCTTACATGTTTGTCCTTGGTTTTCTTGCACTTATATCTATTAATCAACAACAGAATATTCATCAGACATTTACATGTTTGTTGTTTCCGGGAAAATTCAATGAGCGTATGAAAATGATTTAACAATTATAAAAAAAAATAACGAATATTTCGGTCATAATCTCGAAAATGGCAAAGAAAAGTAACCAAATAAAGTAGGATTTATTCAATACTTTTGCAGGCATTTCCCAAGGAGGCCTTTTATTTGTACAGAATAACACATTTAAATATATTTTACATCTGAAAATATGTCTTACCTTTTCATGAAGATATATTCCTAATATAAAATCTTATGTGTGATATTGTATCCTTATATTTGTCTCAGGTCATAGAGGGCCAGGAAACTCATGTATGTAGCTTACGATGTTGTTATTGCATTCAATGTATTTTGTACCCAAACATTTTGCATTAAAAATTAATCATCATACTATTTCTGTTAATGTGAAATGTCAGTGTCTACCATGGTTTAAGATTTATTCTCCATGTCTTATTCGTTGGTGAGTCTTTAACTTTCCTGGAAATGCTATCTTCAGAAAACTTGTTGTTTTTGTGGGAGTAAAGATATATTTATTCTTGTTTCCCTCAGTCTATGTTGTTTTGTTTGTTTCTACTTTTATTTCCGAATTTGTCCATGTGTGTTGGCACCATCGTATACTTTTTCCTTCAATTAATATCTCAAGTATTTTTCTTTTGAGAAACCTTCGATTCTGCAGAAAGTGCCACATTTCATTCGATCAGTACCCTTAACGGAAATATACAAGGACATTTTCAGTGGAAAACTGTTACTGTAACTTTATGATTAGTTTGATATCTTAACTGCATGGCATGCTCTGAGTCAGTGTTTTGGTATTATTTTAAAGAATAAATATTGCTATGGTGATAAATTGAGTGTGTCTTGAAAACATTTGAAGAAGTTCGTGTTAATTTAGTTTCAAGACAAAATCATTTCATAATATAACTGTTAACAAAATAATTGACATCTGCTAAAATGACCCGAAAAAAAGGTATACATCACTTTCAAACATATACGTTATTTTGCATCCAATGGTGGACCGTCCCTTCATTGAAGTACATCCATTCTGTACTATTTTGTAAAAGTCATAAGTAAGTGAAATAAAAAGATAGAAAATAACTCAACTTTCCACCCTTATATTGAACGGTCATTGGGATGGTGTATTCTAGTATATACAAGTACTAATTCTTTATTACTTATATGCCCCATACTAAAGGATTAATTCACCCGTTTCAAAGACTGTTGTTGTACCTTACCTGTAAAAGAGGTTATCCTTGTTGTACCTGCATGCATTGTCTATCAGAAAGATATAAGTAAACCGGTGTCCTTTTATTTTGTATTATGTATACAGAAGAACTTCGTCAATATCTGGATTCTGTTACTCAGAATAATGAGGCAAATGTGCTTTATTTGCAAAATTCGTTTTCAGTCGTTTTCTGGACATCAGAACACTTAGATACGTTGCATGACAATTTTTGCTGAAGGAGGGTCTCAAACGACTTCAGCAATAATTGACATGCAACGTATCCTAAGTGTTCTCATGTCCAGAAAACGACTGAAAACCAATTTTACAAACAAAGCACGTTTGCCTCATTATTCTGAGTAACAGAGTCCGGATAGACGAGGTTCTTCTGTATGCATGCAATATCAATCATAGATAGAAAAGCATGGAAAATGCATGTGTAATTACCTCAAGGTCATGTTGCGATTAAACTAACTTGGTGTCTGAAATAACGTTCTGCCAATACTTATAAAGTCGAAAAAAGTTCGATCAATTCTTTACGGCTCAACAAAGCAATAACTACATCGACGGCAAAATGGTTGAAAATAATTGGTTAACGGTGGGTTTTGCAATTAGAGAGAGAGTGGAAGTGGACGTGGGTTTTGATTGGGAGTGAAATCTTTGTCAAGTTTGGTCTCGTCAGAAATCCGTTTAACAAAGGGCGCAGACAGATCATTCTGCAAGTGGTCCTACATTCGTTCCATTATTCGATCGTGATGTTGGATACAGCAGGCAATTTTTGTTCCCGAAACTTTGGTTTTGATTCGAACAGATAATATCAGATGAAAGAAAGGTCATACTGCCAAAACGTACTAATATTGTAAAGTATTTTTCTATTTCATTTTATCGTTTCAGGGTCAAAAGATTCAGATATGCAAAAGTTAGAAATGCCTGGAACAAACATGCATGCATATGAAAAGTAAGTATACGAAACATTCGTCCGTACCTTTTTAACAAGGTCTATTTATTTAGTCTGACATTTCCTGTAGCGATGTTTTCATTATGTTCTATTAATGCTGGGTCTATTTGTAGTAGTTGCAGAACAGAAATGTGATTTATTTATTTAAATAATCTATATACTGTTATGACATTTCAGAATTGTGATCTAAATCTTTTTCTATTTCCTTTTCACAATGCTGACTCTATCACCACCCTATATTATCACCACATGTGTACACAATTGCTCACCAAATACACATACACACGCTGTTAATTATTTTATTGGTACGTAACAAGTACCGTCTTAACTCTTTAACCCCTTGGTAACTTTAGTAGAATCTACCATACATTGATATGGATGAGTCCATTATGGTCTATGTAGGTGAAAGGGGTAACTGCGAATTCCTCTGGCCTGTTATGGTGACATTTATTGGGACATTAACAAAGATTTCTTAGATAGATTTGTCCTTGGCTTTATTTTGAGCTTTGTTCTATAATGGTGATCAGTACTTGCTACAGCTGCCACATTGGTTTATGTTCAAAGGTAGCCAATACTAGATATTACTTTTCATGAAATTCCTTTAATACGGATTTTGCTATGTTATGAAATCTTTTCGTTGACTTGAAATTTGTCATTGAAAAAAACCCAGCTATGAGATTCCAAGGTGTTTGCTATTTCTATCTTACTGGAGGAATATGAAAGCAAAACAAAGATCATCGTGTGTTTGATTAAAAGTTTTAACATGTGAAAAATGATGCTTTCGCATTGCAAGTTTTCATAGGTTGGTTTTGGTTAACGGTTTGTACTGTGCTACTACAGTTCCTTAAAAACACATTGGACTAATCATACTTCTTTTCCATGCTAGACCTATCTTAGGCTGTTGATTCAGATTAACTTTCTTAGTGTTTCTTTTTAACGTTCCGATGTTGGTAACACAATAAATATAATTTGATAACCAAAGTTTTGGGGTTTGCAGTGTTGATTTGTCAATGGAAATCTTGTGAAAGGAAATCACTTAAATACAGTCTCCAGTCCTCGATTGCAGCAGAAATGACAATATTTTATTATGAAGTCTAAATATCCTAGATAATGTTGAAATGTTTGTGTAAGTTTATCAATGCAAAATGAACATTTCTGCTGATAAACACTGACGTGTGTGTATACTATCGTGTAATTAACGTCGTTAAACCTTTTTTCAGATCCCATTACGACAATTTTTGGCTTACGCGGTCAGATAGAATGCAATCGTAAATACCTGCAAAATAGTTTAGATTTTTTTCTTAATATATTGTGAAATTGTTCAGTATCTGCATATCATATTAAATGTTTGTAAACAGCAAGTCGTCCATTCGTTAATACCTGTGTTTGAATGGATTGAGTTATGTTCATGACATTATAATCTGTAGAATGGTTTTAAAAATATAATTTAAATTTTTATTTGTTTTATTCTTTTGCTATCCGATTATTGGGATGTTGATTTCAATTATATCCGTCCTTGGTCAAGAATGTTATGCAGTTGTCGTATTGATCAATGATTTCACTTCCTAGTATCACAGTATTTCTTTCACAATCACTGGCATCATTTACCGAATCTACAACGTTTTGATGAAGGGAATATGATTATGATTATTTCTTATTAAAATCTCTAATTTCTTCCAAAAATAGCAACATTTAATACAGAAAAAGTAGTGTTAAACGCTGTCTTATTTCTCGTTGAATGATCGATTTTTCCCTTTCCTTTTGGAACATAATATTTTTAGTTAAGTTTGTTTTGTGAACTTGCTCTTTCACAAAACGAAAAACAATTTTCATGAAAGAATTTGAAAACAACAATTTTTCATAGTGGCCCTTTTAGGGGAAATTTTATCAGCGTTTATTATGTGTTATACATTTGGATAAAGGAAAAAGAACAGTAAGAGGTTAAAATGTATAAGCCCCAGATTCACAAAGTTTTTAAACTATTTTTTCTTTCTTTGAAAAGCATTGCAGGAGCTAATGAAATTGTTAATGAAAATTTCCTTAATATCAGCCTAGCCAGCCAATGTAACAACTTTAGTTTAGGAATTTCCTGAAGTGAAGAAAACACTCGTGAAACTTGGGCAAAACTTTTCTTTCTCCGTTATATTAAGAATAATTTGAAGTGTTAGATCTGTATTATATACAATACTACAGTACAAGTCCTTACATGCCTATTTAGGATCAGACATATTCTGGAACACGATTGTACCGATACGTAGCTAAAGATTTATCAAACCCACCAGTAGGTATGGCATGGTATATTTCTCTGCTGCAGCTTAAGTTATTTTAAGAAAAAAGGTTTTCATTTCGTCCTTATACAAAATTTTGTTTTACTGCATCATATTCAAAATTGTAGTTAATATTTTAAATGTTGCATTCGTTAGTTGTTATGTGGCATGCAGTTTAATTTCAGTCCTCATTTCATAATAAACTTAATTGTCGTGGAATTGATCTAATTCTCAGCATCCATGCATCGTTATTTCATTAATAAATGTGTATTTTGAAACTTTCTTTTAGTAACCTTTCTTTTCCTTTCTACCTTACAATGAACAGAGTTTTTGAGACCGAAACAAGATTTTAGGTTCGGTAATATGTTGTCAAATTTATGTCAAAAATTAGTGTTTGTATTTTCTTTGGCCATTGCATGCATTGTTTGACATGTATACAGTTCCTATTGGTCTTTGGCATGTGTCCTGAACCCAGCATTGTATTGACCATCCTGTTGTGTTTTTAATATACACATACAATAATCTCACAACAACGTTTCCGACTATATTTTTTTTGCTTTCAGTTTTTGAACATGTGCACCTGTAAAAGGATTTCATCATTTTTTTTTAATTTGCTTGGTTTATTTTATCTGAAGTCTTACACGTTAGACGAACGAAATGCATTTACCTTTATACAGCCAACGAATTCCTGTTTATAATGAAACAAACTATATGGGATTAACATATAATGCAAGGAAAATTGTTAGATGCATATCATGATTACACATATGGTACAGCAAAACAACAACTTGTGTTAAAGAAGATTACATACTTAAAGTAAAAAAAGAAATGAACACCAAAAACAATGTCTTATTTGTGGAATATATATCCCCGTCTGTGGTGAGTCTTAAACGTATTAACATCTAACAGCGTACGGGGAGCAGCAAGCTATCTGAAGTGACGACAGAATAGGAGAAGTGTCATCAAATACGGACATATTCCATCCATTCTCCAACCTTGCCTTGGTGTTATCTTTAGACGAACGTCTACCAAATCTGCGGAAAATAATAATTATCTTTAAATGATATTGTCCGAAACGGGACAACCAATCAATCGAAGAAATGCCACTTCCTTAACTCATTCACACCTGAAGACACATTTGTACTCTTCTAATTCAAATGATGGAATAGTTCATTATGAAACTGTAGGGGTCAATGAGTTTATTTAATATGTATAGATTATGTTAACTTTCAAATTTATCCCGAAGTTTGCTGTGATGCAAGCATTCTTGCATTTTGACAAAGCCCGTCAATAAATGTACGGAATGCACCGGTATCATTATCTAATATGTCCGGATTTCACGAATCTTGCAACTCGTCTTGATTACTGCTGTTGTGTGATAAACGGACTGACTGGAACATATCCCTCATTTCAATGAGAGCGTACGAAGTTCAATGAAATAAGTCGATTGAATATTGTTTAGAGTAACTAAACAACTTTTCAATTCGTTTTGATAATTTTGATATTCAGAGAATAAGACTTTATCTATATGAATTGAAGACAGGAAGTTGGTGTTAGGTCAATTGTTCCACATGTCGTAGTGGGCTCCTGTTAGTGGCGTTAACTTATTTATACACCCTGCCAGTCATGTGCTGGTCTGTTGTCATCTTAAACCTAGAATGAAATCTGCTTGAAATCCTTAGAGCAGAAAATGATCGTGATTACATAATCTGTAATTGTTAATGAACAGGACCTGTGCAAATACAGGGCAGAAAATGATCGTGATGAAATAATCTGTAATTGTTAATGAACAGGAACTGTGTGAATATAGAGCAGAAAATGATCGTGATGGAATAATCTGTAATTGTTAATGAACAGGAACTGTGTGAATATTCACGTAATGTGTTGTTTGATGTGATATGGTCATTATTGACTTATACATTTATTCCCAGTGTTTGTTTTGTTTGTCTGTTGATTGCAATAAATGTATATATACAATATACAGACTTATGTCCAGATACTGTATACAGTGATGATAGGGATCGTAATAATACAGGACTTCTTCCACATAATTGTTATCTTTGCGGTTTATGGATTTCCACTTTTGAAATGATTTGTTTCCACAATTTAACCACAGAATTAAACTGACTATCATTTAAACGCCTTATTTTAGACACATTTCCATAAAGGAAGTTATCTTTTCAAACCAAAGTTTTTAAGTTTTTGTCACAGATCATGCACACACTACATGGTGTTCAAGCACATATGAAGCATAAGTGTTACTACATTCATCACACCATTCACTTTCAAACACATTTGCATTTCAAAGCATGACTGTGATTTTGTGTATATCCATTGTTTTTTGTTCTTTTGAAGATTATTAACAGGTTACACAAATTTCCAGCACTGTTCTTCATTAATTTCGATAATTTAGAGAGGAATTTGATCAAAGCTTTATAGGTCATTTTTATAAATATATACATATACAGTAAACCCTCGTTATACTGCCAACTTTTCTTTAGCATCGAGTGAAAGACGCTTATAAGATATGAAACATTAAAAAAGGGAACTTTAAATATGTGGGTAGGAAGAGAGAGGGTATATATGAATCAATGGGCTTTATATCGAGGTTTAACTGTATAACGAGCAGTTAGTTAGCAACGATAATTACAACCTTTATAATTCAACGTTTCTTTTAGTTTTGATAACATTTCGATATTACGTATTCATATATATCATAATACATCCATTTGATAATACTTTTGATCAGTACTTTATTGATGATGATATATTTATTTATGATTAGATAATGCCTTGTATCATTGTTTTGTTGAGTTACAGTAAATAACATAAGTTTCATTATCTGGTTAGATATTCATTAGTCCGTTTGGAAAATCTACATAACAAAAAAGTATGTTTCCCGTCTAGAAAACGTAACAATTTCTAATTTAATCACATTTATCTATTACGAGTGTAGTTAGGCCAATTTCGTTTTTATTCCATACTTCAGCGTCTTATCTACGTGAAGTATGTACTAGTATAAAATTTACGTTTCACGTTTTTAATGTCGCATTTTCCGTTGCAGTGCCAACCCTATATTTATGGAGAAGGTGCTCTTAGAGAATGCTGGGGAAATGGAGTAAGTATTGGCTGTTTTTGTGTGGTTAGAAAAAAACACGTTTTACTTATTGATGTTTTATGTCATTGTTTAGTCCATACGAATCCTGTTTTGTTCAAAGATATTCTTAAACTAAGTTAAAATGAGATATCTTATTGGGCTCCTTAGTGCACTGTATTGATATTTATAAGTATTCTGATTTGAAAGTTGTTGGTTAGATAGTATTGGTCATCTAATTTAACTATAGAATAAACTTAATTTAATATAAAAAAATCATGGACTGACTTATGAGTTTAGAATTGAGCTTTCTAGCTGTCTTGCATTATTAAATTAGATACTATATGATAGCAGTGTTTTGATGTTTAGTTTCCTAAATGATTTAGATTTTACATGATATTAAGTATACTTAACGAATTCAAAGTAATATGTGATTGAAATATTGCATATATAAGAAAAGAAATTCAAATATAAAGGAAATAGGCACCTATTGTAAGATTTGCGATGCAAAAAAACAAAGTTAACATTATATAAATATATAAATAGCAGAGTTTGGTTTTGTTAACTCCACCATTAGTTATATGATGGTGGCAGAACGACCTCCAACTGGTCATTTTCATCAGACAATTGAGTTAGCATTCGAATTCGTCCATTGATGTTATGAAATTCCAAATGTTTAGTAACCTGTTCAGTCCCAGAAATCCTGAAATATTTTACACTTAATTCAATATTTGATACCGATATGCCCAGTGCCATATCAGAATATGATTTTACATAAATATTTAAGTATATATATCACTGAATTTCTGGTGAGGTTAATTATATATAACACTGAATTTCTGGTATGAATGTTTTTGTTACCGCTAAATAAATTCTGGACTACGCTCTAAAATAATTCCATGATCCAGTTTTCTGCTCTCTGTAATGTATGCCAACTGATTGTACATGTCCTATATCTTACGAGCCCCTCCTCGCAGTAAGATTGGTCCGCTTCGGCCTTTCCAGCCGCCTTGATGTGCTTTCTTTTGATACAACAATTCATACGATTTGTAACTAATTTCAACTTTGTTAATGTATATATAAATTGTATTTTGAATCCGTTTTGCCACTCAGATCTAGAACAACCACAGCGTAAGAAGTGCAAGCTAAATAGGTATAAGATGTCTACCTTACGTTACATTTGTGGTAATATGTTCGCTGAATTAATTTCTGGTTCACTGGATTTTCTTTCAATATTTCACTCTAATTGTTATCATATGTTTTATTGCCATGTTCATTACAACAACACTTTTTGCATATTTTATCCGTTTGATATTTGAGGAATAACACTCAGGTTCGTTCCTGTATCAGTATTGCATGATGATAAAGGTTTTCACTGAAGTATTATATTGGACTGAACAACTCACATTCTTTCCTATTTTGCAACGTTACCAAAACGAAAATATTCGTCACTTTTTATCATCGGGAAAATGGTACAACGTTTCACAATGTTGGTGTTTGGATTATTTTATTTTTGCATTCATTAGTTACAAGTCGGGGTTTGAATTCTTTATGTAGCCTAGTGGAACTGTTTGGGGATGTGGTTATACCTGATACTTTCTTCTTCCCTTGAATTAAATTGAAATATATATTTTTAATAGTATTACTTTTCATTTTATCATTACTATCGCTTTGCTCGAATATTTGAAGTAAATTTTGAATCAATAGTCTTTTTTTTATTTTGTGAAGAGTTTGTGTCACAATTTGCTGCTCAGAGCATTCAATTGTCAAGTGCATATAACCTTGGAATGTCTAAATTTTTGTGTGTGTAACTTTGAATTGACGCAATGTTGCACTTTAATGTGAAGCAGTAACTTGTTCAGCGCAGATGGTTACGGGATTAGCTCTGAAATGCTTAACTTGTTTAAAAGTGTTCGTCCTCCTGCCAAAATAGCTCTGCCACGAATTTAGCCCTGCACACAGTAATACTAGTTTAATAAATAACGTGACATTTCAACAGTATGCCAAGATAACTAAATGATTTATTTTATTATCACAGTGATAATGACTCGATCGATAACAACGCCGTGGACCCTGCTCAAATCCACCCGTACGATGTCCAGGAAAGGTCGCTTAACTTCCTCGGCGAGTACGATAAGACTTCAACCTTCGGACCACCAGACATGAACCTCGCAGCAGCGTTAAAAGCCCACGAGGATTCTAAGGTTCAAAAGACAAACGGTCAGGTGAACAACCATAAGCCTATGAACGGTCATGTAGACAAATCAGAGACCAATGGCGTGGATACCCTGATGTTGGATGGCCTTAAGACAACTGAGATCTGACCGGTCATGATTTGTGAAAAAAGATATTGCGTATAATTCATAGAGTGTATATATATATGTGAAAAATAGGTATATTTTTACTTTAGATAAGCGACTCATAACTAATTTTTTGAAATTTTCATGTTAACAGTTGTTTCTTTCTTAATGATAATATGTGCTTAAACTTGACATTTTTGACTTAGGCGTGTACAATTACTGGGTCAATTTGTCATAAGGTGATAGAATTTTCAATCAAATTTATAATACAATATAAATGCTTTGAATTGTATGGACGTGTGGACTATACGAATGCAATTACACGAGGGAGTAGTCTAATAGTTGTTTAGGTGCTGCTTCCAAAGCTTGCTCAGCCTTTTGTACGGTGTATTCAAAAACATTAACCATAAAATACGCTAGAAAAGAGTATTATTTGCACTGGTATAGTGTATTAATCTTGTATTAATCTCTCCGGTTTATTATACGAGAAAACTACCAACCAGCGTATCGTTATTAAAATTCAACACTATTTTGTGGAGTATGGTTATCAGCAAATACGTTTGCTAGGTATTAAGTTGTACTTCTTCTATGAAGAACGTCAAAACAGGATTTGGTGATTTCATTGCTGAAAACATATGTTTGAAGATGTCACATTGAAACAGATCCATCACTTCATTTAAAATAAACATTTCTTGGTTTTAACAATAAGGCTTTTTAGAGCTTTGTATTTGTACTTTGTACCAAGCATTATTGTTCGGTAAAAAGAATATGAAGATGACACAGTTGTTACCGAAAGGTTGTGTGCGGTTTCAGTTATGAATATCGAAATGTTTTTAAAAAAAGAAAAAGTATGTGTTAAGTGCATATAATGCATGCTACTCGTCCAGTTATACACACATATCAGTCTTGACTGTAACAATTGTTAAGTAGAAAACCATCCAGATTTTATTCCACAAGGATAACGATGTTACCGCTGTACATTTCATTTGTTTCTTGCACTCGCTTTATGGCGATTACTCAATTGATATTCTTCAGAATTTCACAATCCATGCCTTATTTTATATATTGCCGAGTCATTGCAAGTAAGTACAAATAACTTCTCATTTGAAAAACACATCTTCGACTAATACATGATATGCACGACCTCTACACAAATTAGTAGGACAACGACTTATGAACGAAACGCTTAAGCAGAGCAAACAATCAGAAATTAGGAAAAATACAGGCCTCTTGAAAAGGCATTCCTTGAAATATATTGGGCAAGTGTAAGATGAGGTATTGCTTGTGATTACCTGTTGAAGATTCCATGAGTACGTAAAATAAAATATTTCTATGCCACAGACTTCTACATGTAATGACTGGAGTCTTGACCTAACAACGACAAATCATTATCTTGCCGCAGATGTTGTTTCCATTATATAATATAGTTACTGTTGACTGAAATGTTTTATATGATATTTAGAAACATTTTATTCGTGGTGTATTTGTGAAAATCTTCAGTGTCTATGTGTGAATGGACAATCTAGATTGATGCGTGTGCCGTTTGATGCCATAATGTACTACTATTTCCTGCTTTTTATTCATTCGTTCTCTATTGAAAAGTGGTTCCTGTTGATTTTCACAACTTTTTTATCCTTTTTTTTATATATTTCATTTTTCGTTTTTCTCGCACCTGTAAGAAACAATGTCTTTTGACCTTGTCACTCAGACTTCGTTTCATCACGTTCATAAGGTTACTAACAAAACAAATCGAAGTTTGACTGATTCATCCTATTCGCATATTTTTTATGGCTAAGTGATATTTTTTAATTTGAGAATTTTATAATGTTGCCAGCTATTTAATAAAGAAGACTTTGTGATATATTAAATTTTCTTTTACAAAATTCATCCTGATTCCTTACATACATATTACAACACACTTCAGATGATAACATTACCCACTTCTGCTTTAAGAAGTAAGATATAATAGCTCAACATCATAGCAACAGTAGTATTTCTCTATTATGTTTATTGTGTGTTCTTCAGAACCTAAGGTACTACGGAAAATATCATGCCTAATCAATACTAAACTTAAGAAATAAAACTAATTGTCTATAAACATATGTTCCTATAGGAAACGCAATAATGGCTAAAAAATAAAGCCCGAAAGCTTGGAAAAGAGTGACTTACAGTTCATTAAGAAATAGAGGTTTTGCATGAATCGATTATCAATAGTGTCTCAATTTGTCTGTCCAGAGGAGGTTATTAAATTGTTTCAGATATGCCACAGTAGCAAACGGCGTCAATGTGATATTGAATTGACATTATAGTATTACAGTGTATTAGGATAAAGCGTGTATTTGTCTCCCCACCTGTTATTTTTATGATGTAATGTATTTAAATGCATATTTTGTACATTGTGCCCTTCTTCCCAGTTACATATAGTCATATGCCGTTGATATGCAACATCCCCCCCCNACTGATGTCGAACAACATTTGAGAATTAGACCTCAACGTTAAATCAAAACATTTTAAATGCTTTATATATTTCCTTGAATAATTTCAAGTTAGAAAATGATAGAAGAAAAGAAAGGAAAAAGACAATAGTTTAAGTTGACATTGGCATTTAATGTCACATCTTGCATCAGTTTCGACTTTTACGGATCTTTTTTTGTCCTTGAGCATTTTTGTATCATGTGTCTGTCCTCCGTCAGATTATTCTGTTACTAATGAATACACCTGATATTTTAAAAATGATATTCTTGCCATACGCGAACGGCATATATTGTAAATACACATTTATTTATCATTGTACAATATGCATTCTAGTCAACATAGATGTACCTTTCCTTAGTATAATCAAAGATTGTTTTACTTTGTGGTAGAACTATCTTATTCATGACTTGTGTTGATATTGCGTAGGCCATCTGCAAAATTATATTGAGAAGGTTTATCAGCGACTGCGGTTTACAGGCTTACGGTTTTCGTTGGGAGCACCTTTTGTTTTAACTCAGGGATCCATAGATGATAAGTTTTGTGCTTCACAAAAACAGTGTTACTTGTTCAAGACCGAAAAATTGCTCTTTTTTACGATTTAGGTGTTTTGATGGAAGATGTAAACTGTCAGAATCTCTTATTACTGTGACCCCATTTATTCTTAAATCAAGGAGTATAATTTATGATCCAGTAATCAAGGTAATTTACGATAATGTTTTTTTTTTTACTGGAAACCAAATGTTAAAACTAGCGAGGTTTCTCTGATTTCGATCTCAAGTTAATTTCAAATATCTTGTTTTTGAACGCCTGGGTAATGCATTAGGTATTCAAAGAAGTTGTGAAAGTTAAACGCTATTCATATGAGAAAAACAATGCTACATTAATTAATGTACGTTCTAAATAATACTTTCAAGGTAGTACAATATTACACAACTGAAATTAACGATACTGTCTAGCTAAATGCATGAATTCTTGCATTTGCAATTGGTTATGTTTATGGAAGAATATATTTTGCGCTAGTTATTTGGACAAATTGCTTTTTCATGTCATGACAATCTACCAGATATTACTAGACATTACTTAAATTATATTCAATACAAAATCTCGGGTTTAAGAAAGTTTTTTTTATTCTGTATATTGATCAATATCAGCACCTTTTTAGTCTTTTTAAAAATGTTGATCGTATATGTTTCATATCTTCTATTGAATATAGAACATGGATTTTTGTCAAGGTGTTTATATATTTAAACTTTAGAATAGAGTGGGATACTTTGCGAAAATTGAGCTTGATCTGTTAGCATCAATCAATTTGTGAGATATTGTTAGTATGTTGTGCGTATGATGTGTGATCTAATTTGAATGAAGAAATGTTTAGAAAATCTATTTTTATATGCTGCGAAATGTGGAAGGAAGTTTATAAGTGTTAAGAATGCTGATACATGACGGATCGATAATGAATCACGGATATGTATAAAAATATGCATGCAAATGAGATATGATGATTCAAAGAAATGAATGCTTCAGATGAAATGAAATATTGTCTTTCACATACATTGACATAGCGGCTCATACAAATTATTTTTTGTGCTTAGTTTTCTGTCATCTATATGTAGGGGACTGTTTTGATGAGAAATCCATTTTTAGTTATTTGTGGTATTCTTCTCAATATTTCGAGATGAATTTAAAGTTTTGATTTTCCACTTTTTATATAGCGTAGACTGTATAATTGTCTGTATAAACTACTACAGGAAATATATGCCAATGAAAGTTTGATTTTGTTCAATTCATTTGCTGATGAACACAGGAATTGGGCAGATGGATTAAATAGGAATTAATGAGTATCAGGATATTTTAATAATACGGATTCCTGTTTTAAGCGACATTGATTTAAAAAGATATTTGATACGGCATTCAAAGAATCTAGTCTAATTTATGTGTATATGTACGCACTTTGATCAGCATTTTGATGATAAATGTGAATTTGATGTGTAACTCCCACAGTTATCATTCGTGTGTTTATTTTTCATGTACTTTAAAGTTTACACGATATTTACATTGCATATGCTAATTTATAGACTGCTAGACATTTTGTACTTTGTCTTTGATAATTCGTAGATTTTTGTGTGTCGGCCGTTAAGAAAAGATAAATTATCTTAAATTCAAAAATGTAAGTTGAATGATACTTTTTACCTGCTGTAGAGCTGATATTGCTGTAAGCTTTGATTTTTTAATTTGTTTTTAACAAGATTTTTTTCTTTTCAAAGAGACCAAAATCGCGTTAATTAAAAATTATCTGACTTTTTTTTTTTTATCTGATAATCGTTCATAATTTTCAAGAAGTTATAGAATGTTCTCGTATCCAGTTTTTTCGGACTCCTGTCTACGGATTTTAAGTAATTCTATTCTTATAATGACCAATATGTATTCGCTAATTAAGTAGATGTGATGAGGTTTCTACACGAGAGTTATATCGAAGAACCGTATTCCGTATCTCTGTAACGAGTTACACAGAGTATCGTGCAGGTCGAGCGTAATGATGATTGGTGCTATTCGTAGTATGGTCACGTAGTATTACCATCCGTATATTTAACACATGTGAAGACATTCAGATGAACTCTGGTGCATTCTATGCAGATAATTGTCCTATTAAATGTTCGATTGTTATAAATGAATTATTGTGTTTTGTATTTTTTCTATGGGATATGGTTTTTTCGTTGTTCAATCAGAAGATTGAACTTGAATTAGCGAGGAAAATGTATTGTGGTGAAGGCTTAATGTGGGTATGAAACTCTGAAGAGCACTTCGTCAGCGAGTTTCCAAAAGTACCGTAAAATATATTTCATACTCCAGAGTGCTTTTGCTTCAATCCCGTCAGTTACATTACTTCTAATCCTTGTCAATTACCGTTTTAAAGAATGCTTTATAGATATTTCAGATTAACAAGAAATCAAGTTTGGAATAACAGCTCAACCCTTGGCAATCTTACCTGTTGTGTTATGTTCTCTCTCATTGAATGTGAACTAAGCTCGTTAGGTTTTGTTTTAAATTTGTTGAACGTCCTATTAATAGCTTAGGTCTTTTAAGGACGTGATTCCATGCGCAACGTATGCGTGCGTGTGAATATGTGTTCTGGAAGCAGGTTATGTTGGTGTGTTTGCCTCCCTGAAATAGTGCGATAAGTGAAATACGATGTCAAAGTCATCCAGTAAAGTATTCCATTCGGTCACATTTAACTGACAACGGGTTGACCAGTTGTTACCATTCCCCTAAATGCTGAATGTTAAGCAGAGAAAAAGAACTACCATTTAAATGACTTGTGTGTCCCGGCCTGGGGACAGAACCCATTGCCTTCCTCACTTAGGCGAACGTTTAACACTTAGACCGAAGGGGAGGCAATGTCAATGAAGGCGCTAGGAAACAGCCTAAAATCCCTAATATCACTGTTTTGTATTTGGTCCTGGTCTCATAACTTGCATTGCGACGACGTCCTTAAATACCTTTAGCTGTTAATATAACTTTTAACAAAACCATTGTGACATCAGAATTAAAACATGATTTAGGTAATAGAATTGTGGCCCAAACGTTACTAAATATACTTGACTATCTCATTTCTATGAAATAAGATTTTATTAAACAAATCCATCAATTTCTCAGCAAGGTACCAAGTTAAAACAAAGTTGTGACAAGATTATATGAAAAAGATATGATTTATGTTAAAAAGAAATATCTTGGAAAAAGATAAACGGCGGAGTTTTGCTGTATGTGCTTATAAGTCTTAAATAAATGTGTTCATATGATACTGTGTAAAACAAACGATGAAACGAATGGATATCAAAGCTGCACAAACACGAAAAACCATGTGATCGTTCAACGGGAGATAACTCGCAAATGTGTATATTACAAGTTTCTATAATATACAAACGGTTCAACCAGTCGGACCACAGTTGTTCGTTTATTTACTAAGGTCGGACCTAGTAATCTGATTCTGCTTTCAGGCGAGCCTTGATCAAGCATTACAAGGCCTGCATAAACATTTACAGGTCTGCCAGTATTTATACCCAAAATATTTCATTTAAAAACGGACGTACCAGTTGTTCCGCATAAACGAACAGGCCACCTACTCAAATATCGAACGGAATATCGTGTTGATATGTGGATTTTGTGTTATTCATGCGTCACCTAGAAACATTGTAACTGTTGTAAGAGACAGAAAGCATAAGATATCCAGACTGGTATTTTCATGTCAAAAGTAGGTTTCGGGGAAAGAATAGACCCAAGACAGTCTAACTGTTTTCGTTGCGAGTACCTTTTGTTTGAACTCGGGGATCCATAGATGATAAGTTTTGTGCGATCTGCTCGCCAATGGAATAATACATCGATACCGGCGGCGCCTCCTAGCGCGTCATATAACATAGGGGTTCTTCCCTGCGAATTTCAATTCGATCTCATTTAAAGATACCTGTGGGTTTCCTATATACATGTAAAATAAATTCCCCTTAACTTCCGTTTGGATATGAATGAAGCGCAGTTTGGTCAGGTCACTTCTATTAACCTGATCGGCAAGACGATTTTCCCCCAACACATCCAAAATACCCCAAAACTACCAAAAACACCCACAACGACCCCATAGCATTACAACGATAGCTTTCAGCTAAAACAGGTTAACTAGTGTACGTACTGTAACCATTGTATGCATAATATTCTATCTTCTGTGTTATGCTGTCAGAAAGCGAAAGTGATTCGTAACTTTCAAAATATAACGTTGCAAGTAAAGGGCGGTAAATCGTTCAGGAACGCTGCAAATACAAATAAACTCCATGTTTTTGTATAAATAATTAACTAGATTTTTTAAAACTTTCAATCAACTTTGAAGGCGATACCATCACACTCGTTCAGTCACATTTAGATTATGTATACCTAAATGACAATTTACCGATATGACCTAGTCTTTCATTTGAATAAATTTATACAGTAA